ACAACGCCTCACAAGCACGGGCTTCCCTTGTACATCCCGACCAAGGAAATTCCACACCCGGCGACACCTCACCCGCATGACGGGCACCACAGCAAAAACAGACCACCAGCAGGCAAGCGTGATACAGCTCCCTCGCCATGTGTTAGCTGATACAGCTCCCTCGCCATGTGTTAGCTGATACAGCTCCCTCGCCATGTGTTAGCTGATACAGCTCCCTCGCCATGTGTTAGCTGATACAGCTCCCTCACCATGTGTTAGCTGATAACTGTTGTGTAACTCAGGAGGAGAAACACAGAGCTGTGACCAAGGAGCCAAAGCTCAACCCCCCGCAACTACAACTAGGTGAGTACAGCTCTGGTCCAGGACGGATCGAAACGTCGTCGTCCCTTCACCTTCTAGTGTGTGGTCTGGTCAACATACTTTAGCCACGTTATTGTGACTCATCGCCTGCATACAGCTCTGTGTGTATGTTTGCATTCATGCATGATGAACGTGAATGTATACATGAATGTATGTATGCATGCATGCTACTACTTCTAGTACAACACATGCATAGATCAGTGACATGGACTGTATTAAAGCTCCTGCCAAGATATATATATTTTTGTCACACAGTGGGAGACTTATCATCACCGCAAGAATTCGCCATTCCTTGCAATTCCCCAATTCACTAATCGCGTGCAATCATCTGCGGTTCGCTGATCTCAAATCACCTTCCTGCAGCAAGGACAGTGGTGATGTCTGCAACATAAAGGGCCAGACAGACTATAGCACAGACGGTGAAAGCATAAAACGATAGTGAAGATAAAAGGGTTCTGTAAAAAGAAAAGGGTTCTGTAAAAAGAAAAGAGTTCTGTAAAAAGAAAAGGGTTCTGTAAAAAGAAAAGGGTTCTGTAAAAAGAAAAGGGTTCTGTCAAAAGAAAAGGGTTCTGTCAAAAGAAAAGGGTTCTGTCAAAAGAAAAGGGTTCTGTAAAAAGAAAAGGGTTCTGTCAAAAGAAAAGGGTTCTGTCAAAAGAAAAGGGTTCTGTCAAAAGAAAAGGGTTCTGTAAAAAGAAAAGGGTTCTGTAAAAAGAAAAGGGTTCTGTAAAAAGAAAAGGGTTCTGTAAAAAGAAAAGGGTTCTGTAAAAAGAAAAGGGTTCTGTAAAAATAAAAGGGTTCTGTAAAAAGAAAAGGGTTCTGTGAAAAGAAAAGGGTTCTGTGAAAAGAAAAGGGTTCTGTAAAAAGAAAAGGGTTCTGTAAAAAAGAAAAGGGTTCTGTAAAAAAGAAAAGGGTTCTGTAAAAAGAAAAGGGTTCTGTAAAAAGAAAAGGGTTCTGTAAAAAGCTAACCAAGCAAAAATATAACCAAAGTCGACGGCAGTTTCTCATATAATTATACTGCACGTGCCCCCCTGTCACTCATACTGTCAGGATTCTCCCACGCGTGACACAAGGCTCCCATGCAAATCATGAGTTTATTTTCCACGACTTCCAGGATAATTGCACGATTCTCCAGGACTTAATTCTTTAATGTTTATATAACGGAAAGGCAAGGAAATTGGAACTAGACGAAGTAAAAAGATACTGACAAGAGTTAAAAAAAAACACATTTTGTAAATAAAAAATAATCGTTTTATCCACGAGTTTCTTTCCTACATGGCTTTTGCGGCATTTTTCCATGGCCATGGGAATCCTGAATTGATATGAAACTACTTCCGCTTTACACTGTAGGTGAAAGGCACGCCCAGTTTTACTCTTTATTCAAATAAACATCACCACCCATACATTAATGGTATATATATTTCGTCTAGAACTTTAGAGGATTGAACTCGAGCCTGTAGAGCGCGATGCCGTTACTCCGTGAACCAAACCAGAAAGATCACCGTAAACAATAACAGGAATCTACAAAACTGACAAAGAAGAATTCTTATAACCTGCACCTTTAAAAACAAGATTTGCGCGCGCCCCTCGTGTATTTATATATATACATACAGTATATAAATTTATATATAAAGGTGTGTGTGTGTGTGTGTGATGGGGGAGGAGGGGTAGCGAACCACACCACCCTCGCATATGGTGAAGCAAATAACCTAAGAGTGGAAGACAGCTGCACTTCATTCTCTAGTCACTTTTCTCACACTGTTCCCCCCCCCCCCTCCCACCTTTCCCTACCCACACACACCATGGTCATAAAAGTATTTGTGTACGTCTGGTACCATACTACTTGTGTAAAGGTGGAAATGTAGATGTTTATCTCTCAGAATGTTTGGTAATATGTTTATTGTTTGTGATGTGTATCTATGTATGTATTATTACGATGTACTGAACGGGATGAGAATAGCTTGAGCTACCTCATCCCTTTGTGTGTATTTTACCTCAATAAACTTATTTCAATTTCAATTTACACACACCATACTTCCTACCCATATCCAAAAGGTATGGGCAAGGAACCATATCTCTGGAAGTTTACTAACCCATACCTTTACTTTGTTTACTAAACTTCCAAAGATTAATAAGTCTTTTCGTTTAAGAATATTACCTGCTCCCTGTTAAAATTATATTAAACAGTTAACACTTATAATTTGGAGACTCGGAAAAATATACATCAGGAAACATTTGTGTTGGTTCTTGTTGTTTATTATAAAACTGTGAGGGGGGAGGGTGGGGGATGAGTGGCGGTGGGAGGGAGAGAGAGGGGGAAGCATCACAGTTAACCACTGGAACGTCGCCACCAGCCCCTTCCATGCTCTGGCATGGGAGATGGCCGCCCTCCCATGCTCCTCCCAACCAGAGTCGCGCCACCCACTACCACCGTTCTCCACCAAGTTTACCACCCACCACCACCGTTCTCCACCCAACCCGTCCTCTTAAAAATAACGTCACTTTTCGTTCGTATGCGCACTATGGCCAAATTTTCCACCAAGTTTACCACCCACCACCACCGTTCTCCACCAAGTTTACCACCCACCACCACCGTTCTCCACCAAGCTTCCCACCACAACACCCACCATGTTAATCATCAGCAGCTCCTCCAGGCAAGTTATATGCACCGAGAATACTTAAAAACACAAGAATAAAGGAAACTGAATAATAAACCCCACATTGTTTGAGTTAGGAAAACACTATTTGTCAAATATTGATACTGTTCTTAAAAGATTTCCCCATTTTGCACCCGCAAGATAACGTAAGCTTTTAAGGGTTGATAAATGTTAATCTTGTTTGAGGAGCTGTTCACTTGAGACAGTTAAGCAAGTCCCAGCTGTGTCTGGGTACAAGTGACAGGATGAACAACCCAGCGGGTTTTCTTCCTATTGGGGAGTGTTGTACATTCTGCTATGGCGGTATGTTCACTCACAAGATGAGTGGCGCTGCCCAATAAACTCGCCCCTCAGGGCAAAATTTAAAAAAAAAAAAATTGTATTTGTCTCCATCCAAACTCTTTCATCTATATTTATAATTGTCTTGTCAGTTCGAGGCAAGAGGCCATATGCTTGGGATTAGCTTCACCCAATTTTTCACAGTAACTGCTTATGGTTCGTGCACAACATGGGCAGGTCAGGATTGACATCACAAAAGAGTGTCATGTGACAATCTCGATGAATGATTTTTTGCAACATCTTAAACCTATGCGCCGACGATACCAAAAGTGAATAAATCTAATCATAATACCCTTCAAACCATAAAGTTTAATGTTAGGGTTTATTGTCCTACTTTTTTGATAGTTATAATGTCTGATCATTACAGTGATCAATAATTACAGTGTTATTAGTGACTTTTTTCTTAGTTGTTCTCAAAGTTGCAGGTTTCAAGAATCCTTCTGTCAATGTTGTTTGTGGCTGTTACTATTCCATGCGTAGTCATCATATCACTTTTTCCTATCTTTTGGCATTGACATTTAGCACCTCTAGCCTCTCTTCGTGGGTCTTTTTTTCCAATTCGGGAAGCCATTTAATTGCATGTCTTTGCACCTTTTCTAGTTTGTTGATGTGTTTTCTTGAGATATGGGCACCATACAACTGCTGCATATTCCAATTTTAGTCTCACTAACGTTGTCAACAGTTTCCTTAATATTCCTGTTTACGTGTATTTAAAAGCTATTCTGATGTTAGAAAGCGTAGCGTAGCCTACTCGCACAAAGTTCATTATGAGGTTTTCAGGTGACAGTTTACTATCCAGAACTACCCCTTTCCTTATTAAATAACCTTTAAAACATTTCTCAGTTTATAGGTTGTGTGCCTACTTTCTTCTATTCCACATTCCATTATGTGGCATTTATTCACATTGAATTTCATCTGCCAAGTGTTGCTCTAGATATACTTATTTTATATAGGTCAACTTGAAGGGCATGCGAATCATTTAAGTTTCTAGATTTCCAAGTAGTTTAGCATCATCGGCAAACATGTTGTGTATTCCTTCTGGTAGATCGTTCGTATGGACGATGAACATCACTGGTGCAAGAGCTGAACCTTGTGATACTCCACTAGTAACAGTTCTCCCAGTCTGATAGTATGCCTCTGATTGCAGCCCTCATCTTTCTGTCAGAAACTGCTTCATTCGTGTCTGCCTGTCACCCCTCCAGCATGTTCCAAGTTTCCAGAACTTGGAACATGCTAGAGTCTTTCTAGTATGGAACTCTTGCCAGGAAGCTTTTTTAAGGTCCATATAATCCCAGTCGACCCAACCATCTCGTGAGCAATCTTCATGGCTCTATCATAAAAACTAAGTAGATTTGTTACACACGATTCATCCATGACAAGAGTTTCTGGCACGTGATCATCTGAGGGAAGAAAAGAGGCGTAGATAACAGGTGTCATCACAACGGAACCCTGACAGCCCGTGCATGACGACCCTGCCAGACTGTAACGCTTCCACTGCTAACCACAAGTCCGCCCTCACCTCACCCACACTCCTAACAAGCACTCATCAAACATTATCACAAAATCTGGTCTTCCAAAGGCCTTTTTGTATATAGGTATGACGAAGGACTTTATCCTTCACACACCCCAAAATCAAGTAACACTCACCCCTTCCACCAGACACGACGTCCGCTCATGCCATTGAAGATGTTGAATCCAGGTCGTCTGCCCATGGCTCCTGAAAGACAACACCACGATGTTCAGTGTCAAACGTAATGCATCAACCAGTACACTGATTACTGCTTAATTATACCACAATGCAAAACTATTGTAATGTACAACAGTTGTACAAAGGGCTACCCCGCCAAACACATAATGAAACTACGACGTTGCTACAACGTTCAAACAAGTTTTAACACCTCCTAACCAGTTATAACAACCAATATAGCGAGTTGTAACAACGTTCTAATACGTCATAAACCCGTTAAGCCAAGATGTAACAACTTTATTACAAGTTGTAACAAGCAGAAAATAGGGACACTTACGGTTTGTGTTTCCAGGGACATAACTTCACCACGCAAAACAACTTTCATAAACAAAAGACAACAATGCAACACTAAAACAAAAATATTGCGACACATAACTAATTAATGCCTTCCCGTACAACCAACACAACATTTCCAGACCCGAAACAAATGAAACAATCATTGTTATATATATTTTTCTGAGCATTGTAGACATATTTACGTGTGAAGATTCGTGTCTTAGAAAGTCATAAGGAAGACCATTTTAAGTGTCAATATTTAAACTCAGATGAAAAATCCACTCGAGATGTTTAGAACTTACTGGAAAAAATGTATGAACTAGATAGCCTGTTGTAATTACTAGAGGCGTTTAGAAAATTTGAATTTTAAGTTTAGATTGTTCTACCTAACACAAGGGAAGAACAATTTGAACTTCAATGAGCGTAAATGCTTTAAATAAATGAACTTAGTGACGGGAAAGAACATACTGCAAGTACAGTACTTAGATTTATCCAGGATCTTTACCCATGACTTAGTACTAAAATCTATGACTCACAAAGTTACTGCAGGAGTAAAACTTACCGAAGGGGAAGAATGGGTTGAAGGTGAAACCTGGGGCATAGTCAGGACTCTGGCTCTGATCCACCCCAGTCACCTCTGAGTGTGACCCTGGGCTCCCAGACGTCTCATCAAACCTTGAACCAGCCAGGGGTTCCCCGTCGCCCTCAAATTGAACCTGTATCAGCAAACAAATATAAAACATGTTTACGTACACACAATATACATCTATAGTTTGGCCTAAAATCCTTACTTATAAAGTAACATAAATGCCCAGAAATAAACAAATGTATTTAAACACCATATTCTTACATTTTAAAACTCAAATCAAAATGCCTTATTTTCCATATTATATATGTATGTGACATCAGCAACTTGGTAGACAACGACTTGTTAAGATATCTCAGTTCACAACTGTCGAGACCCCTGCTTGCCCGTTGTCGACCCCTAAAAAGATTTGCTTTGCCAATTTCAAAATCTTAGTCAAACTAACACTAAGCACCCACAAACCTCCAGTCCATCGTCGATGCCGTCTCCTAGGTTGCCGGAAATGGCCTCAATGCCCAAGTCATCTGGCATAGAACCCATAGCCCCTCCAGCCTTGTTCTTGTTCCTCATCCACAGTGGCAGTGAACCCTCCACCTACAGAGGGAATCTCATTAGCAGAACGCTAATGAGCGCTAAAAAGAACGCTAAAAACGCTAATGTTAGGCTAAAGTTTATTACTGATGTACTATTTTCAGGTACGATTATCATGGGGAACAGCATATACGAGGTTTGAAACTATACAGTATTGTATGGTATAGCTGTGGATCAGTGTTTGAACAATACATATAATAAATTTGTCTTTACTAAAAAAATTATCTGAGAATGTCTGTGTGGAAGCAGATTGCCTTATTAACTCAAAATGCTAATTTAGTGTAATTTAATCCACACTAAATGACACAGAGCTCAACGTAAACAATTTATTTAATGACCAAAGTTACTGAGAATGACCGAGAAGTTATTTCAAAATTTAACCAGAAGAACACATGAAATCAAAGATTACAAAAAAATCTCACCTGTTGCTCAATCCTGTCTGAGAGGCTGCCAAGGGCCGTGTCAAGAGTGGAGGAGAGTTGGTCCATAGCGTCCTGCAGGCTACTCATACGCAACTGTCCTTCCCAATGGCTGCACCAATATACTTTAGTTACTGATCTAATAACACAGTGAAGCATGCCTAGCACACACACACATAAATAACCCCTGTGACGAACATGTTTACCTTGGTTGTTACCTCTCTATTTCGTAGGTAACGAAAAAGTAAATCACTCCACTCAATCCTCAATATTCAATCACTCCATTAGTACATAAAATAACAACGGCTCCCTCTGCACAGACATTGATTTTAAATATATTTTTGTAAATCTCATAATCAGTAAGCAATTTTATGAACTTCGGGTTAATACTTTAAATGTGGGCCCATACTCCCATAAAATTTTATTTATATTCAATAGGGTACAGAGAATTATGAGAGTACACAACACTGGTGATCTTACATATTATAAATCTTCAATGATCTGGTTTCTCTCACTGTATCTAACGGTGATATATGACATTGACAGAATATGCTGAACGGTGTGACTCACAAAAGGTTCAGGTATCGACTGTTTTTTTTTTTTTTACTGAATTTCATCATTATGTTTCGATTTGAATTCCATTTGTGTTGGATATTTTATAATAGTTTCATTGGTTTCTCCTATACACTTTATTTCTATATCTTTATATATATATATAAAACAGTCCATACATTCTTATGAAACCACTAGCATGTATAACATTTTGGGCAGGTCCTTGATCTTAATTTTCCCCTGTAATACGACCCGCCAAATCGTTTAACAATCAGGTACCCATTCACTGCTGGGTGAACAGAGGTGTACAGTTAAGGATTTGTGCCTAGTCAATCCTCCCCGGCCAGGATATGAACCCAGGCCAGATGGCTTACCAAGCACGGACAGAGTGATTTACCACTAAAAAAAAAAAAAAAAAAAACTGCGCCACGGGGATCTTCCATCCACCCTTTTCTTCATTCCTTACTTCCTTCCTTCCTTCCTTCAGAGACAACTTCAACCATGTGGCCAACATCTGCACATGACAGCAAACCCAAACAGATGAAATGACCAGTAAATATTTAAGTCAGGCACAGTAGTGTCTTTGTCTCTGTGCTCAACTAGGATACAGAGAGAGAGAGAGAGAGAGAGAGAAAAAAAAGAGAGAGAGAGAGAGAGAGAGAGAGAGAGAGAGAGAGAGAGAGAGAGAGAGAGAGAGAGAGAGAGAGAGAGAGAGAGAGAGAGAGAGAGAGAGAGAGAGAGAGAGAGAGAGAGAGAGAGAGAGAAAAAAAAAAACAGACGATAGAAAGAAGGCAGGGTTATCTTGATATGATTTCGGGGCTTAGCGTCCCCGCGGCCCAGTCCTCGACCAGGCCTTCTTTTTGTTACACACCCCCAGGAAGCAGCCCGTAGCAGCTGTCTAACTCCCAGGTACCTATTTACTGCTAGGTAACAGGGGCATCAGCGTGAAAGACGTTCTGCCCATTTGTTTCCGCCTCCACCGGGGATCGAACCCGGAACCTCAGGACTACGAAATTTACTAGACAAGATAAATAAACCTATTTTGGGAGTCTTGGTAAAGTCTCCCGAGTGCTTGAACAATAACTAACACGTGGGATAGGTCAGCGGATAGCAATACACACAAGACCCAATCCTATATTTATAAAATGAAATCAACACAAATCCAAGTTTGGAGACGAGCATGCAAGACGCTTAAACCCCACATACCGAGCACCATTAAACACTCACATGTCGATTAAACACTCCAGCCAATAAAGGAATGTAAGACAAGTTTTCCTTTCGTATCAGAATGTTTTAGCGTGTGACGGAGGTAAATCCCACCTATAGTTTAAAAAGATCACATATATGCCAGCGCATATTATGCCTACCAGAAGGCGCGGCCCAAGAACCAGACCTCAGCATAAACACCATCTAAACACCGGGATTTCAGAATCATTTTAGGTCTTACAAGAACATAATGAGCGCGGAACACCGCGATCATGGCTCTCTTCCCGTAGCTACAAACAAGGCAATAAAACGCAGTTTCACACGAGGGTGAGTGTTGGCTGGTGTTGCTAGGGGCCCACGCCGGGGGCCCCCATGTTATGAAACAACCGACGGCGGGCCCATATAGTCCCTCTTGACGCCTCATTATCTATTTTCACGTCGATGAATATCCCAATATTTAAAATGGGTCTTTTAATTGGGTTACACATATATATGCAACATTTTGCATACTCAAGCATATGAGAAAAGGCACCCACAAACACATATGACCGATGAGAATTTCCTGGAAAACTTTCCCAGCCCGCGGCTCTCTCTGACCCCATTCACCTTGAACTTCACCGCGTTTTCTATTACAGGATCTACAAACAATACGGAGCCCCGTTTTCTATTATGAGGCGTCTAGCAAAAATAAATAATAATACACATAATAATAATAATAATAATAATAAATAATAATAATAAATAATAATAATAATAATAATAATAATAATAATAATAATAATATTGATTGGCCGGGGAGGATTTATAATAATTACGGAGTATCTAATTACATAGATTTAATCTTTCACTGTCATTTCTATCCAGTGATATACACGTATCAGTATGTATTATTCTTGCCTATTATATACCACATTGATATTTTAATGGAATGGGGTTGCAAGACGGATATTATTAGTATTGATATTGTATTTCTACATATATAAACTTTAAACACTGAGCCCTTTCAAACCTTAAAACAAATTGATGAAGTAATTCTGAAACAGGTTTAAGTCGACATTCAAGTTTAATACTGAAAGAGCGACGTGACTAAATAAAAACAAGTTTAAGCAGTATTTCACTAATATTTTTGCATTGCAGGAAATGAGTTTTCATAAGCTCTAACTTGTGTGTAAGAAGGCGCTCTAGATTCCTAACACTGTTTCTGTAGGTCAGACGAAAATGTACAGTATTTATGCTAGTTAACATTGTATGAATGACCACATCTGCGACAAAACGCTGCGCGTACTAGTGGCTTTACAAGAATGTAATTACTATGCTATGTATCCTCACAATCCGAATGTACCTTCTTGTATATATATAAATAAATAAATAAATAAATAAATAAAAAGGCCCGACACAGCACAGTTCAGCCGCCCTTGAAGTGGTTTATCTGCAAGTTTGGCATTTTTTTGTCCATCTAGGAGCATTTAGTTATTTGTTCAAGTAACATCAAATGTCTTTAGCGTATCGCGGCTGCCCTTCGTAACTGTCAGTTAAGAGAGCATGTTAACGAACCTGCCATCTGGTGAGCTCCGTGTGTCAACAAATGTCGGACACGTAAATAAACCGACCCAGTTTGATAATTAATGACCCAGCCTGCCTTTAAAGAGCCGCCGGCTCAATGTAGTCCCAGTATAAAATAAAAAAAGACAGGCAAGAGGCATTGAACTACAGGCCGGTGTCCCCAACTTGTATACCTTGCAAAGTGATGGAGATAGCGTGAGGAAAAAAATCTAGTAGCACATCTTGAGAGAAGGGGCTTTGTAACACACCACCATCAGGAGTTCCGGGCTGGCAAATCGTGCTTCACGAGGTTAATAGCATACTATGACCAGGTGACAAATTATGCAAGAGAAGGGTGGGCAGACAGCAAGCTGCTGTACTAGGCGAGCCAGTACAGTTAATCCCCTCCATCAACACTCCAGCCCGGGTAAAGATGCCAAGATTTACCCGAGATGCTCGGGTAAATCTTGGTTGTATAAAAATTGTAACAATTAACCACTTCTGTTATAATAATGAATTGGATGATTGCCCTAAGACGACTAATATATTGTTAAGGGAGTAAGGTAAAGTTTACACTTCAACGACAGGGAAATCCGACTCTGGTGGCCAATGTATGAATCAACTCTTCTGCATTATGAACCAGCTACTGTAAGGAAAACGTGTTTAAATTGCGTCCTCTCTTCTGCTAATACACATGTGAATAATATTCGACAGGTAACAAATGTTAATACTGTACCATCAACCATGGGTTATAATATATACAAGTTACATAATTGCACATTTTCGAATTACAGGGCTTAATCTGTATTCTTTAAATTACGCCCGTCCAGTTTTCACTTCCCATTGCGCTCTCACAACACATTTCCCTCATTCATAAAACAATCATCTACGTTCTCTTCATGTGCGTCCGCGCGTGACCGGTATTGTAAGGAGCGATGGTATACGCTAGGCTAGAGGTTATACAGTCCGAGAAAGCCCACTTAAACCAGTGGGGCTCTCTGGTCCACAGCCAAAAGCTGTTCAAGCTAACACTTTTCAAAAAGGATATATATATACGCCAAGCGGTGTACACATGCCCAAAATATTCACTTTGGTTCCTAGAGTATGTTTAGGACCAAAGAATATTTGTGATGGCCTTAATAGCCCTCCCGCAGTTAATGGTCCTTAAACCTAACACCAAATAAAACCTAAATGATAAAACACATACACCAAGGTATACCCCGCTTCTGTGTATATACAAGGAAAGTGTACCTTTTCCTGGACAATTTTCAGGACTAAAATGTAACTGTAGAGAGGTTCACTAGTCTAATACCAAACCAAATTTAACTTTAATATTTGTAACTATAAGTAAACCAGCCATACACACGAAATTCTCACATCTAAATTGGAATAATGCGTTGTAAAGTTCCGAGAGAAAAAATACTGCATGTCCAACATCCAGAACCTCTTCCGTCACACTATCTGGACAAATATTGTGTTTTCTGGCACAACTTGCGCTAAATGTATTGTGGGGGTTCAGTCCCCGAGCCCATTATGTGCCTCTGTAACCCTTTCCATTACCGCACACAAGATGGGTATGGGGTGCATAATAAATGAACTAAACTAAAACTGGCACTTCAGGAAAAAAAACTGCCCGCTAATTATTCACAGTAATTGCAGCCGAAACCCAGTAGCATCATGATGATACTAGTTTACAACCATGACCTTCAGGATATCAAGGCAGGAAAATGCACAAGATAACCTAGTAACAAGGTCATTGTGCTACTGGCTAAGTCCAGGTCATGTCTACCTGCCGCAAACCAGTTACAACGAACCTCTCACGCCGGCTCTCGCTACATCTTTATTCGTCAGTCAAATTTAATTTAAAATCTACTCTTTCTATGGTAATTAATAATTCATTGTAGCTACTAACATTAGTAAGCGTTGCGTATACCTAATTTTGTTAATTAAACAAAAAAAATCACCCAGATTTTGCTAGTGGAGGCTACTAGATCAGCCTTATATTTAATGTTCTCTCCTGATTTTTAGTCAAGAGTTGATTTGGTTTTGTATTGAGGCTGGTATTTGCTTCCCTGATTCCATGTATGCCTAACCATCCTGTGAGATGGGAATATTAGATGAACTTATAGCTAGTTTTTTTATCTACACTGTGTAAGCTTTCATATAGAATAGGGTAGCAGCACATTGCTGTGTATACCTAAGTTTGTTAATAAAAAAAGCAAGCATTGCTAACATTTAAAATTGATCATATCTTCCCCCAAAGTGATAATTTCATGTGTAATCCTTCAGCTTCTCGTCGGATTATATTTAAATTCTAAATAAAGTACTTTAACACGCTTCATGTTCAACTATTATTTTTAATAATGCTAAGGAAACGCGTTTGGATAAACCTTGATATTTTAATTTTGCGTACATTGATAGTATCAAATTTGTGGGAATATTTGCTCTTAAGCAAACACTATAAAAGCCTTAATGAATATACAAACAGGCAACCAAACCAGCATAAATGCTTGCTCGATATACAAATAACTAGTCTATAACAGCTTGGCTATTTTTAATTAGTCGAATAAACTTTTGTAACTGCTGCACCAGTTTATCAACTCAAAATTTTAGTTTTCGGGTATCCTTAATAGCAATTCCATTTTTATATCAGAAGCATGGGCCAGAGAAACAAATCATAAATTTACCAAGTATCAAAAACAAAATTCTACCAACCATAAACTTTTTTTGGGGGATTAAAACCTATTGGCAGTATGGGCAGGAGTACCAGGTATCAGTTTAATTGCGAGACCCTAACTACTATGACTGCTAAACTACCTTTAGGGGCCTGACAGCTGAGTAGACAGCGCTTCGGATTCGTAGTCCAGAGGTTCCGGGTTCGATCCCGGTGGAGGCGGAAACAAATGGGCAGTTTCTTTCACCCTGCTGCCCCTGTTACCTAGCAGTAAATAGGTACCTGGGAGTTAGACAGCTGCTACGAGCTGCTTCCTGGGGGTATGTAACAAAAAGAAGGCCTGGTCGAGGACCGGACCGCGGGGATGCCAAGCCCCGAAATCTCAAGATAACCCTCTAAATGTTTAAGAATAATCTGCTTTCAATTACCTAGTAAATGTTACTTACTCGTACGTTAAGAAATGAGCATCACAACACTAATGTACAATTCGTTCCTATTTTGTATATACATTTTCAGCGGCATATATAATTTAAGTCACAATATTCCGGTTGAGCCTGGCCGATGTTTATGTCTTACAAAAATCAAAACTTTTTTTCCCATTTATGTTCCTCCAAAATTTCAAATTAACTCCGTCACTATAGAACGATAATCTCTAGACATATAATCCCTAGAAAATCCCTAGATCCCTAGACAATTTGATCTAAAATAACTATCAGTTCATAATGACATCTATATTGAAATTCCTCGCTCATCTATATCCAGAGGAGATAATCCAAGCAAACACCCACTTTGTTTACATAAGTTTCTTGTTACTTGTAAGCATCTCTTAGTAACTTGTCAGACAATCCGGCGTGAAAACAAATATTTCGTTTTATTAATACCTTAAATCGAATTTAAATATAAAATCTCCAATTTTAAAAGGCAAATATCGACTCTAAAGATGACCCACCACGATTTACTTACTGTATAACAAGCGTAAGTTTTTAATCTTAATTACTGACAAGTAATTCGACAACCGGGCCGCAGGGTCGTTGAGCTCCGAAATCACTTCAAGGTAACCTTAAGGTAAGTACATCGCACTTTCAAATAACGTATTTAGTTTCTAATTTAAGATGAATTACCTCAAAATACTTAAAACATCAATAATCCACAATGAAACTTCCTTGCTATACATATTATACAATGTATTTGCATTGCATACAATGCAATGCATTATACAATGAATTTGTATACCTTCATACAATGTATTTTTATACTTTCTTACAATGTACCTATAAACTTTTATAATTTTGCTAGAAATTACCTTGATAAAATTATATGTTAGATTAAGGATCTGCCCGAAACGCTATGCGTGCTAGTGGCTTTACAAGAATATAAAACTTCAAGTCTCTGTACTCTAATAAACCCAATGTACCTTCTTGTATATAAATAAATAAATGAATATTGACATGCCCACACACAACTGTGCTATTTTAGCCTTCAAGCACCCGAAAAGTACTTACAGATTATCCTTGTTCCTGGTGAAATCTCTATTAAACATCCTGCCATCTCTCTCCGCTGTAACCAAGACGATGAGCAGCAGCTGGGCCGCCGTGAGGATCTTGAGGAGCGTCATCTTCCCCCTGTGACTGCTGGTGGTGGACTGAGTGCGGTCTGCTGCTGTATCCACCTCATCACCGCCGGCCGGGTGGAGCCTGATGGAAGCCTCACCACCATCATCAGATGCCACTAACTTCTTCCTTTGTCACAATATATTGTCTCCTCTCGTGGCACGTCTCTTTAGGCAGTTAATGCAACTGTGTCTCAGAATTGGCAATTCATTCTTATTCAGATTCGTGTAAAATTAGCATAGCGGGGCTTCGAAGTGAGGAGGATGTTGTTGAAGAATTCTGCTGAAGTGTTGCACATGTTATCAACTCGTGTTTGCCTGTGTGCATGACAAATATCACTGCCTGAATATTTCTAGGTGTTTCTCTGTGCATGCATGACAAGTGCTTGCCTATGATTTGAGGTTTATATACGCTATTAAAACGGTTCTAGATGACCTTTTAAGTATAAGTTCCTTTGCAATATTTGAAATCAATTTTAATTTGACATTAAAAACTTGTAAATCATGTTCAGCAGATTACTTATAATTGTTGTTAAGTAATGTATCCGTTTCACATGTAATGAAAGTTGTTGTTTTAGATTGTCTCTCTCATCTCATTTTTTTCTTGCAATGTATTTGTTATCATTTTATTAATTCTGCTAGAATTTACTTACTTAAAATTATCTGTTAGATTAAGGACCTGCCCGAAACGCTGCGCGTACTAGTGGCTTTACAAGATTGTAAATACTATGCTATGTATTCTCACAAACCCAGCTTCTTGTATATAAATAAATAAATAAATAAATAAATAAATAAATAAATAAATAAATAAATTTAGCTACTCAGAACGAAGTGTCCATGTAGCACGGACTATGGTGAGCCCGTAAGATGTAATCAAAATGGTTGGAAGCATATATATAAGTGAGGCTGTGTACCACAGGAGCAACGCACTCGCCACAGGCAACACCGCAGCCCACTCCAGCCGGAGACACTTCCTTCAAGCCATATATTATCCAGAACTTTCTCACCGTCTGTGGGAGAAATGTCGCGATTGTCTTTCCTGACCTAGAATTTCTATAGAGTAAGTAGTAAATAAACCTTTTCTCTCTACTTTTTCTTACCCCTCATCTAATTATTTTGTTTTCTTTGTTTTTTTTCTATATCCATGTTTGTTATACATTGATCCATTTTTATGCACACTATAATGGGCTCAGGAACTAAACCTCCAGATATTCCTTTAACTAAACTATTGCTGCATTGATGAACTATAGTTTAGAGTTTGTTAGCATATAATTGATTGATGTTAGAGATAACATTCACAAGTGCTTACCTATCAATACTTTTCTATCAGTGATTGTGGGGACGTGAGGTCTAGCTTATGCCTCGCCTGCTGGCCTTGTTGTACCTGTTGATTTATAATTTAACTATTCTGACGTTCGAATTATTTGCTGAATCTGAGCCTAAACTTGTGGATGGAGGAGGTTTCCACAACTTCTTTCAATGTTTCACTTGTTAACCACTTGTACAATATACGAGAACTTCCTGACATTTCCAGCTTCCACTTATGTCCTACTCGTAAAAAAGTATTTTTGTCCACCTTGTCAACTCCTTTAGTATCGTGTATGTTGCAATCATGTCCCCTCTGTTATTTTTCTTCTTCGGGGTTGAGAGGTCTTCTTAGCTTATCCTCGTATACCACAGCCCTCTTAGCTCCGGTACTAATCTTGCAGCAAACCTTTGTACTTTTTAATAGTGCCACAACACCGAAGCCATTGACATCAAATGCAACAACAAGAAGGTGAGACAAATTAGAAGAATACAAGGTGACAGGGAAAGCACGAGGCAGAGGCTTCCAGGTGATGAAGCGGATTCCCCTCCATCCTTCAGTAGAGAGTGAGCAGGTCTCGGTCCCAATGCTGTCGTGACTCAGTAATTTGGAGAAGTGGACACCGGTGCTGGGCCGGACACACCGCTTCGAGAAATCATCACTAACTTCAGGCCAGATAGCCCATCATGTGGGGTGTGAGCACCACTCCCAGAACTCTTTAGTAACCTTTTCACTGGAATTTCAACATTTTCCTGCTTTCTTCTTGTTTTTGTATTCCCGGAACTATTAGTAATATAAAATAGAATGCAAAAAGACATCAAATTTATTGTTATACTAGTCATCTTAATTTTTATACTCAAGAATGAGTATAAATTGCTAACCTAATTATAAATATCAGAACTTAAGAATACTTGAATAGATGAAACTGAAGAGAGCCCCTTAAAACAATAGCATATGAGATTCAGGCAGCATTCTCTATCACAAATTCATGCCACAAATGCTTTCAATATCAATAAATATAAGTATATGCTGGTTCCTGAAGATGAGCAGTGTTCAATGTCACTTTGAGTGCGCAGAGGGGAATGGGGGGGGGGGGGGTTAGAAAAAGCCTAAGCTCCTCTATCCCTTTGTAATGTATTTTTCTCTTGCCTCAATAAACATACATGATCTTGAACTTGAGTGCGCAAACCACAAAGTCAACAGTTTAATAACTTTTTGCTCTAGAAAAAAACTTGCTAATAATTCTCTTTATGATCATTCATAAACAGTCAAAACCTGTGGAAGTCTTATTGAACTTTTCTAGTTCGGTAACAGCATTGTTGATTTGTAGAAGATTTACAAGTGGATGAATGGACATAACAAAGGAGATATTAATAAGGTATTAAAAGTATTAACACAAGACAAAATACGAACCAATGGGAATAAACTGGATAAGTTTAGATTTCGGAAAGACTTGGGTAAATACTGGTTCGGTAACAGGGTTGATGATTTGTGGAACCAATTGCCACGTGGCGTGGTGGAGGTAGGGTCCTTTGATTGTTCCAAGCGTGGGTTGGACATGTATATGAGTGGGATTGGGTGGTTATAAATAGGAGCTGCCTCGTATGGGCCAATAAGCCTTCTGCAATTACCTTTATTCTTATGTTCTTACATCACGTTAATCCTAACCTATTAGAGGACCCACGAACGGGAGAGTATTTCAATTTCGCGAGCCTCTACCATTTCCTAGTACGACAGTTTTTGGCCTTAGGTAAATTATACGTCAAAATGCGACGTGGTATTAGGAGGACGGATTGGTTGTAAATCTTGTTCTGTGGTTGAGAACGCTAAAAATAACACATTACACTATGCAGAAAAAATCTCTAACCTTACGTAAGTCAGACGAAAACATATGCATGCTGGTTAACATACATTCATACATATAATGTTGGTCAGCATTGCATAAATGTATGGCTACGTATGTATTAAAAAACAAATTGCACTCCTTCCTTCTCCCTCCCACACACCTTCCCTCTCCCTTCCAGTCCTTCCCTCTCCCTTCCACACACCTTCCTTTTCCCACCCACACACCTTTCCTCTCCCTCCCCCACACACCTTCCCTCTCCCTTCCAGTCCTTCCTTCTCCCTCCCACACACCTTCCCTCCCCCCCCCCCCACAGTCCTTCCCTCTCCCTCCCCACAAACCTTCCCTCTCCCTTCCCCACACACCTTCCTCTCCCTTCCCCCATATACTCTCCCTCCAAGGTGAACCCAATCCACGGCGCCGCTAATCACCAGTATGGGGGCGTGCACTTGCTGCTCGACACTCCCTCCCTGCCAGTACTGTTATCTTCACCAGGCTGCTTTCAGGGCGTGACGTGCAGCCACGGTGTGGGTGGAGGCCGGGGCCTCCTGGCCATAGCAGGATGATGAAGAGGCTGTCACAATACGGTGGTTTAAGTCGTTCGCCTCCAACAAGGGAGGCGAATTTATGTTTGTACATTCCCCATGTCTACACTAGCAAGTCTATAATAATAATAATATTTTTTTGTATTTACAAGAAGGTACAATGGGTTTGTGAGATTACATAAGATTGGTATTTTTACATTCTTGCAAAGCCACTAATACGCAAAGTGTTTCGGGTAGGTTCTTAATCTAACATATCAGGTAAGATGAAAAGGTATATTGTAGCAAAATTTTATATCAACATATAACTACAATATAAATTGAGAGGTGATTTACACTGGTGAAAATACTCGAATACACTTTTCAGAGTCCTATTAGAGAGCCCAAGATTATTTACCTCTCTAAGTGGCCTCAACTAACCAACAGCTTGTCAAAAGTCCCTCCATTTATCCCGATTATTTTATCCATTTGGATCTCAAATTGCAGCAGCGTTTTAGCATTTATGACATCAGCGGGTAGGCTGTTCTATGGGTTTATCACTCTGTGGTGGAAAAGGAATCTTCTGTTTTCTGTCCTGCATTGTGGCTTGAGATTGAAACTATATTTGATGATGTGGTTTGTAATACAGAATTCTCATCTATATGTCATTGATGTATATGACAAAAAGGGTTGACCCCAAAATGGACCCTTGTGGTACTCCACTCACCACATTTCTCTAGTCAAATTCATTTCCGATTAGGACGTCAGTCCTCTGCTTTCTTTGGTTTAGCCATTTAGCCATTGCTTTATCCATTATAATATTCTACCATTTATTTTTTGTACTTGTATTTTCCTTGCCAGTCTTTCATGCAGGACCTTATCAAAATCTTCAGTGAAATAAGTATAGTATATCTACTGAAGTCCTTTGTCTGAATAGCTGGTTAATTTTTGGTAGTAAGCATCAAAATTCCACAGAAAACACAACCTGATTTTACTTCTGACTATGAAAATTACAGGACGCTTAAGATGCGTATATTTCTTAAAAGCTGGCACTGAGGCCAACTCTGACTGGCCTCCCAGTCTTTCAGTAAAACTTGTGGTATTACTACGACGGTATTATTTTGGATTTAAACAAATTCATCAATTAAGTGTACTGTACTAGATGATTCACATGTATGCAGAGAAAGATATTTTTCTATCAGAAAATAATTTAAATGTAGTATGTAATACAGTCTGTAGATTAGTTCAGATGTTCTGTAATTGATAAGAGAAAAATTGTACAAGTTGCTACTATAATAAGTCTAGAAAGGAAAGTGGCTGGCACAGTGAAAGCACTTGTCAGGAAGAATATGCTTAATAGAGTTTGATGCTGGTTTGGCATGAACATAAGAATTAAAGTGTTAGAGCAGTAGAAGTGAACAATTGGGGGATGGATTTATGGTGTAAGGACATACAATACTGAATAAAATTGTCATGGAGAGATGTAATGCCAAGACCAATTAATCATAAGAATGAGGAAAATTTATACAGTATATTGTTTGGTGACATTGAGGGTTGATGATGGTTGGGTGGTAATAAGTGTGTATAAATGAACCAAAGTACTGTACAGTAATTAATTCACATTGTTGGGGACAAGAAGCCTGTGTACAAATACTTTTGGCTTGTATGGAGGTCTTCCCTTAGGTGAATTTCTGTACTAACCTTTTCCAGGATGCCAATCCCTCAACAGTTGTCCAACTCCTAGGTACCTATTTAGTGCTAGGTGATCAAAGGAATTATTTGAAAGGAAGCTAACTCAACCATTTCTCTCCTGCCTGGGAATTTTTAAGAGGAAGGCCAAAATAAAATGGTCAGACATGCCAAGTGGGTGTGGATGAGTGAAGTACAAGCAGCACCAAAGTACTGTAGTGACAAAGAGGTTAAATGGAATAAGTTACTTAAGAGGGAGTGAATACACAACATATTTGAAATGACAGCTCACAGGAAGCACGTCCAACTGCTTGGGCTGGACAGTAGAGCAACAGTCTCACTTTGTGCAGGTCGGTGTTCAATCCTTGACTGTGCAAGTGGTTGGACACCATTTCTTCCTCCTGTCCCATCCCAAATTCTTATCCTGACCCCTTCCAAGTGCTATATAGTCATAATAGCTTGGCACCTTCCCCCTGATAGTTCCATTTCCTCACCGTAAGCACTTCACGCTTTGTTACATATAGTGATGGGGCCTCTGCTATGGATGGTGTGTCAAAGCTGAGGCTACGTGCATACTCTGTGGTGTGTGTGTGGAAGATTGCTTAAATGAATGTTTTTTCTTTTTTATCTTCAAACTTTCCTTATAAAGCAGAGTATTGCTCTCACATTTCCTCAAAATCTTTCTATTCCATGAGAATGAGGTAATGATGACCATCAAATTAGTGGTAGTCTACTTATTGGAAATTTGATTTCTAGCTATTATTATAGTTTATCATAGAACACCATTATTTAGTTTGCCTTATTTTTTTCCCATTGTCAGACAGGGAGGCTCTTGGGGTTATTGAAGAAGCCCTAACCAATACTTAGCCATTCCTCAGGATGCAACCCACAAGTTGATTAACTCCCAGGTACCTATATATTGCAAAGTGAACAGTCAGCAGGAGTAAAGAAATGTGCCCAAGTAAATAAGTAATTATCAAAGAAGATTCCAAAGAAATGTGCCCAATGTTTTGCCCCGCAAGGCACCAATCAGTTGTGAGGCAACTGCACAAATGTGATGCACTCAATTGTTTAATTAGTTTTTAATTTAACCATTTATGAATTAAATTTAAAAGGAAAATTAGAGAAAATAATCATGTACAATTTACATATTTTAAGTTTATTCAGTTTGTAAGACTTACAATTTATATTTGTTAATATTACAGTATACAAATATTTGACATAAGTTCGAGTTTATTCACAATCTTGAGCAGGACAGAGAGAATGTCCTCAAAGAACAGTTTTTACAATATTTATGTAGTTTGTATACACAGAAAATTAATGGCATAATTTGAAATATTTTCCATAGAAACATAAAAAAAAAGTAAAGGTTCTATTGCATTCCCCAAAACTTAACAATACTTGAAAACTGTTTACTGTACTGTACTTGTACAGTAAAGAACTCTGTTATCATTCACTCAAGAAACCTAACAAACCACACATCAAAGCCTTATCATTCATATGTACACACGTGGTCTTCAAACTGTCAACTTGTTAATAAATAAATAATGGATGTATAAAAGAATAAGACTGCAATTTTTATTATTTAACTGTTGTTCAGTAATTACAAAAACAATTCTAGAACAGAGTTAGAGCACAAGAGACCACAAATCTCACACATAGATCTACACATTCAAAAAATATTCACACAAACAATTAAGCTCAGTTAATCTCACACCTGAGTTCAAGAATATTATGCTACTAAAAAATTGTCTTGCAGCTGGATTACAATGATGACTATTAGTCTTTTGTTGCTCAAACATAATAGGTGTGCTATGCTTTGTATTCCAGTGCTGCAGTTATAACTTTAGGATTAATAACATTTTATATAATTGTATATACTGTGTGTGTGTGTGTGTGTGTGTGTGTGTGTGTGTGTGTGTGTGTGTGTGTGTGTGTGTGTGTGTGTGTGTGTGTGTGTGTGTGTAATTACCCAAGTGTAGTTACAGGACGAGAGCTACACTCGTGGTGTCCCGTCTTCCCAGCACTTTTTGACATATAGCGCTTTGAAATTACTGACGGTTTTGGCCTCCACCACCTTCTCACCTAACTTGTTCCAACTGTCTACCACTGTATGTGTGTGTGTTGAAACTGAAATTCTGTGTGTGTGTGTGTGTGTGTGTATATTATATATATACATATTGTAATTCAATTTAGTCTTTACAAATAAGTCCTTCTGATGGATTTGACTTAGCAAGATCCTAGATAAGGCTAGCCAGCGGCCCAGGTGTACACCCAGAGGAACACATTGGCCACTGTCTGCCATGCTCTGATCAGGCTTTGTCCGAGGACTGGCACCTTTCCTGGCACAAGATTTTTCTATTGATTGGTGATATGTAGTAATGAGATAATGCCATATTTTCAAAGCCAACCAACCATTGGAAAAACCTTTGAATAGCTTGTTTTTATTCTCACTAAGTACATAAAGTACAGTAGCATCAACACGCTAACAAATGAATGTGGACGTCAGACACCATAATATGTTTATCTAATCAATGGGCTTGATCATCACTGTCACCTGTCTCGTCTTTATCTGTAGAGTAAAATCAAATTGAATATGACGAGTTAGAATTACCACAAATTAAGAAACCTACCCAAGAATCTGTATTGCCAGTTTTTTCACAGAAAGAAAACACCAACTTTTATCAGGTATTTCATTCTGAAATTAGGCTCTGAATAACTAGTAGGAAAGTAGTAGGTCCACACCATGAAATTCCTAAGACTCTCCCAAACAATCTACTAAATCCACACAAAATTTGTAAATATATATACAAAATACTGATTCTGTAGTTATATTATTTAAGAAAATTTTCTTATGAAAACTTAAATTTGAAATATGATAATTCTTATCATACATAAATTTCTTCATGCAACCAGTAAACTTGATTAATTAGAAAATAAGTAACAATTCAAAATCTCTCTCTGCATTAGCATGCAATAATTTGAAAACCAAACTGTTGATGCTAAAATAAAACTTGATTTATTCAGTAAAGTATAATTAATATTGAATAATAGTTTCATGCAGATAGATCAGAGAATCATGCTGTCAGAAAAAACTGTGAATGTTCATGCAAGCACTAGCATAATAAAGGTTTTTGTCAGCTGTATGGTCAGAAGAGCATCGTAGTTTAGATTTTTTTAAGATTTTCACTTAATAAGAGCCACAGATACTGTATAATGGTACTGCCAACTAATGCACATAATGTAATCCTTCTTCAGAAGAAATAAAGAACCAGATTCTAGTGTTTACATTTATAATGGCACCAATAATCTTGTGGCACTGTAAAACCTACATAATTCAGGATTAAATACAATAGTTTAACAACTCGGCTGCTGTCATTTTCTAGATACCAGTACCTGATTTTCCCAAGACTGTCACTTTGACGTCCAACTGTAATTTTCAGACAGTGAACACTACATATGCAATGTTAGCACCCTTGTGCTGTACATTGTAATCTTGTCACATTTTCCATGCTTATGGTTATGCTAAATGTCAGTTCTCCTCTTTCATTGTCAAGACAGTAGTAGTAGTAGTAGTAGTAGTAGTATTATATAAAAACTAGGTATGCTATAAGGTATTGTATATTTTTGACACATGCATATTATTCAATGCTTATAATACAGAGTTTCATGCATTTTTCAATCGTACATATTAGCTGTCATGCAGCTTATTATCTTGAGTATTATAACTGTAACAAAGTAGCAGTTTCTCAATGTGCTTTTTTTTCCATGCCTGATATGATGTTCAATTTTCTGTACATGTTCATGCTGGCATTTCAGCTAAACTTTTCAGCTTACTTTTCCAATCACATCCATGCACATACTTGATTTTAAACCCTATTGAAGGATCAAGGCCTCAGTCATCCTCACCTTTCTTGCCTTGGTAAGCGTGCTTGCGGAGGCGATCGTACAGGTCTTCCTTGTTGCCGTAGATGGAGGCGTTAGACCGAGCCAGGCTATTTCCTGCTCCATTCTGGAACCCGGCTGGTTTAGGGAGTTTAGGTTAGTAAATATTCATTCATACTATTGTTTGTACTGCAGTTAATAATAATTACAGTGTGATACCTCCCTATTAAGCTCATACAAGATATTTAAAAGCACAACATAATTACATTTACAAATTTGAATGACTACAGTATGTACTTGTATTCTGCACTTTCACCTGTACAGCAGTAATATTTAACTTTAATTTAACTATGTTAAAAATGATATTATTCATTATACAGCATTGCAGAACAAGTCCAAGCAAAGGGCTCATAATATAACAAAATCGAAGCACCAAAAGTATTAAAATCTAGATGTGAGTGAAACAATTCTGAGATGATAGCATGGCAAATCTAATGGGTATGTGTAAGGTAAGGTAAGTATGTGGTTGGTCTGGATTGGGCTCAAGACGTACTCTTCATGTAAGTCTCATTGTAGAAGTTAGGCATCTCCCAGGCATCTTCTTCATCATCGTAGTAATGAGCATAAGTTGAGTGATGAGATGGTGCAATGCTTTCCGCATAAGGGGCAGGTGCTCCATAATAGAAGTTAACCTGCAAATGAAAATTATGTCGACTTACTTAAAATATTTGGGAACCATGTCATAGTAAAAGATTATAAATCCTGGCTGAAAAGATACAATATGTTAAAATGAATTTTCTAGATTTTTAGGATAGCTTTCCGTTTGGATTTGTAGATCTGTGTGGCGAGTGTGTGTGCTCGGATTTATCCCAGTAGACATTCAAGCAGCTGTGACTTAGCCTCAACTGTGCCTGCATGGATTACCCTCTGGGCTCTACAGGTTTCTCAAGTTTGAACCCCTTTAGCTGCTGTATGTATGTGTATAAAGAAATTTTATATCTTCCACACAACTATGGAACATTGAAATAGTGTACCTGTGAACCGTTGGGATCAATGGATGGCTGGTTGATGAAGCCCTTCTTAGGCTCACGTCTCCTGGTGGCGCGGATGCAGATCATCCATACCAGAAGCACAATGAGAATCAGGAAGACAACAGCACCCGCGATGCCTCCAGCAATATATGTGAAGTCGCTCTTAATCTGCCATGGCCGTATTAAATAATATGTTAAAATTACATAAAACAAATTGTCATTTTTTTTATTATCAAAAATATTTTTACAATCCCTCTTGTTTTGAGGCTTGCATTTGTTTGATATATTGTATCTCAAAATACATTAACACCAAGCTACACTCGCCTGGCATTTGCTGCCTGTGAAAGAACCTGAGCAAACGCAGAAGGGCTCCTCATCTTCATTCTTTTTACAAGCACCGTTATTCTCACAGAAGCCGTCACACTTATCTGATTGGTCAGAAATTACTACAGTATTAACTATTGTTCATGTCTCCTTTAAGTCTTTATTTCAATGTAGATAAGCACTATAATATAAATTTTATAGGCATTATGCTTTTAATTTTGTGCAAATATAAATCTCTCTCTCTTAGAAATATTAAAGCATTATATGAAGACAAAATTACATATATATATAGTACTGTATAATAATCTCCAGCCTCCATCAATTCTACTTGTATTAATAAAACTAACTTTATGGTAAATAAAAAGGAAACATTACTCACTAGAACAGTGTTCTCCAGAACCATTGAATCCTGGTTTGCACTGGCATTCAAAGTCATTTGTTTCCGAGATAAAGAGACAAAGGGCATTGGGGTCGCAAAGCATCTGTTCCCCATGAACCTCACAGGGATTTGAACACTCCTCCATCGAGGTGGCACCAACGTCATGGGTTGAGGTGTCTTGTGGACAGTCTATACATGATGTTTGCAGTGCCTCTGGTTGATAAGTGCCTTTAGGACATTTCAGACATTCATATGCTGTGTTCAGATTAGAAAGGAATGTTCCAGCAATGCATATTGGTAGAGAGCATTCTTCCAGGGAAGATGCACCAGGTCCTAGAGTGGTACGATCTTCTGGACAGCGGATGCAAGCAGCATGAATACCCTTGGTACGGTATGTTCCACGAGGGCAAGGCTCACATGGACCAGTTGTGCCAAGCTGGAGACCTGATTCACACTCCTCACGGCATTCAGATGATGATACGGCCTCTTTTGTGCGTGTGGTGAGGCCTCGATCACACCTCTTACATGAGAATTTGCCCTCTTCAGATTGGTAATACCCATAACCACAAGATCGACAAACACTCATTTCTTCATCAAAGTACCTTCCAGCAGCACACCGCTCCTGGCAGTTTTCAACCGAGCGTGAGCCTGATGTCTTGGTAACTTCTTGCCGACCTGCACGCTGAGGGCATGGCTTGCAGGCAACCTGACCCATCTCATTCTGGTATGTGCCAGATTCACACAGCTTGCAAGATTTTGTCTCCTGATCATAATAAGTCCCTGTTGCACAGTCCACACATTCACTATCAACCACAACCTGCAAATAGAATAGAGTAGAATTGCAATCTTTACCTCTAAAAAAGTATACAGGAGTCATTATCATTTGTATTATTTTCACGTGGCCATATTAAACACAGGGCCTATTAAACAGCATTTTGGGTCAAGGTTTGGCACTTATATATATGGTCATGATTTGAGGACATTCTTCTTTATTAATTTCATGAACACTATTGATGTTCTTCGGCAATCTATTCAGGTATATTGTGTTTAGAATTTTTCTGTAGCAGTCAATTTAGGTTAACTGTACAGTAACTCACACTGCATTAAAGGATACAAACCTTGCCAACAGGACATGAATATTCAGATTTGAGGTCAAGAGAGGATGGATCTGGGACAACATTGGGAAGAGCATCACGAACATCAAACTGATCTTGTTCAAGGATAACTCCTTCAATCAAACGACGAACAGTCGATTCCAATTCTGAATTAGTGTTCTGGACAGGATCACTGTTGGATAATACAATCATGAGTTCTTGAAACATAATACAAGTTAATGTAGTTACCTTCCTAATAATATGAATCCATCACTCTTTGTAAAATCTCTTGTATGTATGTACCTTACCTAAATAAACATTTGATTTGATTTGATTTGAAGTGTATAAGCTTTATATAATCTTGTAGAGGAATAATTAACATTTCAGTTTAAGAGATCAAGGTTACAATTAAAAATACAGAATAAAATTATGTTGTATAAGTGAGGATATGTTATAGCATTTGAGCCAGTGCTGATGTATAGTATATATATGACAATGTATTCAGAAGAAATGTCGGTTGAAGCAAAAATAAAGAGGATTTATTTCTACTTTGAATAAAGGCTTATTTAAGTATGAGGTAACTAAACTATGAGAAATGCACTAACAAAAAAAAAACATGCTAATAATACTTCTACTCGAAAGTAACTAATTCTTTTACATTCAGATATTGTACAGGTTGTCAGGAGTTTCCATTACATAGCGGAGATTTAGCACACAAGGTGTAGGTAAAATATTTTTAATATAAACATACAAAATGAGGATGATTTATGATGCCTTGTAACCTTCGAAGCATATTTATAGTAAGCACTATTGGTTGCATTTAAATATGGTTCATTATAAATGAACTATTTACTGTACCAGTACAATTCCATACCATGTGTTGAGTACTACAAAGACTACCCACTACCCTTCCAAAGAAGCACTGTAATACTAACCGCATACCATTGGCTAAATGCTTGGCTACTATTACTTTAACAAGATTTCATTATAAAATCCCACCTTAAAAGCTTTTAAAAATAGCCTACATGGTTAAGGTACTGTTTGCTTGAATTTTTCCTCTATACTCTAGTAACCTCTTTGAAAAGCAAAGCGTGTTGCACCAGAAGCTGCAAATGAATGCTTATAATGTGTGAAAGTCTCTGTGACATAGAACAACATAGAACAACGGTGAGTTTAGTATTTCCAGTTATTAATGAAATCACTAGACAGGTAGTTAATCATGGGTCATTATCAGTGGTGACATTCACAATTACTGTATCTTACTTCTTGGCAGGGAAAGAGACTTTCAGGTTATACTGGTAAGCCTGATCTGTGCTCCTCTTCCATCGTGGCTCGCTGGGGGAGGAGCTTCATTAGGGGTCAAAGATGGATGATCAATACTCACGTCTCATATCCAAACAGTATTGAGGTCAGATAATTGTAGCCCTAATTTAAGTGTGATGTTTAATCCCAGTTATTTTCTTGAAGATGAAATATTTATATTTTGGAAGATGTTTTTTAAGAGTAAAAACCTTTATGATGTTTTAAAAATAGTTAATTCTCAAGCCCAGATCTGTCATAATGTAAGCACACACACTGAGAAAATTACACATTTTGTTATAAGATCCTCAAAGCATATCTCATCATGTGCTTTACTGTAAATAATCAATAATAGTTACAAATTACTAGAAATGAACTCATATTTTTTTACCAATTGTATGCTCTAATTGTTTATCCTATTCACCAAAGAACCAGATTCCCTGCTATACCCATAGCCTGGTGGGTGACTATGTGTGTGTCAGCTTCCTAACTTTGTTCTCACTTATTATATTTTACAAGTCAGTTTACAGCGATAATTGTCAGTTTACAGCTATAATTTACAGCGATAATTGTTCAAATCTGGCGTGTTATGCTACGAGGATCTTATAACGATTTTTCTACTAGGCAGTCATATAGATTTGGTCCATATTTGTCCCAACAGAGCACTCTACTACTACAACACCCTCCATGTGAAACACAAACAGAACTTCAACTCACGTTTGGTCACTCATACACGTACCTTCACAATTAGCACCTTCCTGACCTTTATTTTATTTAATATTCATTTAATTGTCATTTAAATCATACACTGATTATTTTAAAATAACATTCAGTATTTTGATAATAAGCCAGTTATGTTTTATAAAGTACCATATGAAACTACACAATATATTTTAACCAAGTTTTAAGCAATGAAACCAAGTTTTTACTATGATCACTTAAAAGGGTGTAGTGCAGTTTTTATCTTGTGCCTAGAAATAAGTGGTACGTATCAATTATACATACGTGGATAATATTCTTACAATCACACAAAAACATCACATAACCATGCAAAATGCTTCACATGAAAGACAGAATTGTGGCAAGTATCACTGAAAAATAACTGATTTTCACATTTTAAATGGCATATATAACCTCTCATAAGCATAATATGGTGACCTGCTAATTAAAAAGCAGTAATATAAAGCAAAGAGCTGCAAAATGATTTACTCACTTTACAGAAGGAAAAGTGATCTTCACTTGATAGACGTCATCAGTTTCAGGAGCAGCTTGACGTTTGGCCCTCGAGTCCATAGTGTCACGAGCTACACGGTTCCTTCGAGAGCAGTCAACAATTACATCAAGGCCATTGCATTGTCCCGTAGAAGCAGCAGTGTGAGTGCAGAAGTTCCACTGAGCATTCAGTTTGTTTAGTGCCTGGAAGAGCAGGGGGGAAAATTACTGACACTGACAGACAAAACTTTTCTAACTCTGGGATAACTTTTTAATTCTGTACCTTTAGTCTAAGTCCAGACTAAGTCTATTGATACTAAGACTTTTAGAAAAAGTCTATCGATATATATATTTATTCATTTATAAGTCTTTCTGCCTCTATTAATCTTAATTCCATATTAAAAATGTGAGATATGCACATATTCAGTATATGTATAAATTACAGTTGGATAATAGAATCTCATTTCTACCAAATTTTGAAAGTTTTTGTGGATGCTCTTTTAAGATTCCATTTATTACAGAGAAAAAATATTAGGACAATACTTATACATTACATAATTAATACTTAACAGATAAATGCTCATTTTAGTTCAATACCCTCTATACAAAAAAAAGTTACACATACTAGACCAAGTAACTTACCAAATACTGTAATTGCTGCAATTCATGGACTGAACTGTATGTCAACTAAAATCTACCACTATAACTGCTAATACAAGTTTCTCACTCCAAAGGAAAACAAAGTTATTTCTTTATGAAACTTACAATCTTAATCCTTTCACTGAGAACATTTTGGCCAGCTGCATTGCAAATTACAGAGGATGGGAACTGCATGTTAATGTTGAAGACTCTTTGTGCAGGAGAGGCTGGGGAACACGACGGGTACACCAGTGGGTATGATGGGTCGTGTGTTGGACGCCAAAAGCCCTCGGCACCACACGTGTAGAAGTCGGGAACCTTTAAAATAATATAAAAGATATAAAGATATCCAATATAAAATGAGAATAGCAGGCACAGTATCTTATGGTGCAAATGTGTAAAATATACTATACATACATACTAATATGCATATACTGTATTTATTATTAAAAAAAATTGAAAGCACAGGATCATTAAAATGGAATTCTCTAATTTATTCAAAATTATAGTAATAGAATTTTGAAATAAAAATAATTTCTAACAACTTTGCTGCCTCAATTAATGAGGCCAACTGAATTTAGATAATAAAAAAACCCTGAGTAGTTGACTGTAGTATCTATGGAAGTATTATCAACAAGTTAAGTGATTACGTTTCTTTTCACTAATATTTCTCAATTTTGGCTGCTCACACAGTGCACCACTACTGTACTTGTTGATCTTACTATATTTTATTTCCTCTTGTACACTTAATAAAGGTATCAAAATCTGTCCATACATTCTTGTTCCACAATGTGAATATATGATGAATGTTACACTTAGTGTGGGATCCAACCAAAGATGTGCATTTATTTAGGAGTGCTTCAAAAGTTTAATGCATGAAGGCAGTTGATTGATTGATGAAGATTAAGCCACCCAAAAGGTGGCACGGTTATCTTGAGATTCTTGAGGTTATCTTGAGATGATTTCGGGGCTTTAGTGTCCCCGCGGCCCGGTCCTTGACCAGGCCTCCACCCCCAGGAAGCAGCCCGTGACAGCTGACTAACACCCAGGTACCTATTTACTGCTAGGTAACAGGGGCATTCAGGGTTAAAGAAACTTTGCCCATTTGTTCCTGCCTTGTGCGGGAATCGAACCCGCGCCACAGAATTACGAGTCCTGCGCGCTATCCACCAGGCTACGAGGCTCCCATGAATACACGCACGGGCATGAATATCCCGTAAGTGGTGGCCCTTTTGAGCCATTACCAGTATCAATAGATGATACTGGAGATCTGTGGAGGTGCGACTGCACCCTGTGTGACGGGAGATGACTCCCATCAATGCATGAAGGCAGTTAAGAATGTCTCAAGAGACCTCATTAGAGGCCAGTATCTCAGGAAAAGTGAGCTCCACAGAAAAAAGAGGCCAATGTCTCCAAAGACATACCATTGAAGTACACTGTATCACCATGTAAATGTTTAATCAATACAGAACTGTATTTATTAACAAATGAGTCACTGACATTAAAAACTATTCGAGTTTAAATTTCACATAACAAATTAATTCCTCACCTTTGTGGAAAACTTGAGCCCATCATTGCACTCAATTTTGCAGACCTTGAAACGGCCACCGGGACCCCAGTCTGAGCAACGCTGAACACCTCCTACAGGATCGTCCAATTTTGGGCAGAACTCTTCCAGTACGTAAACATTAAATGAACAAGTGGCCGAGTTACCAGCAACGTCATAGGCCACTCTGGCAACATCGTAAGTACCCCATGTGAAGGCCTGAGTAAATAAAATCGCATTTATATTAAATTTTGCATAAAACATGGTATAAGATTCATTATTTTCTTTATGAAATGACAAATAATATTATTCTAATAGGTAATTTAGTAAATATTACCTTCACAATTTGTAACTTTGTATTGAATGATTAACTAATAAATTTTAAGTTTGTACACACCCTTACATCTTTGCTACTGTAAAATGTATACTGTACAATGCTAGTTACAGTCTGTGGTTGTTGGTACATACCTGTCCTGGAGAATAGCCAGACTTGTCAACAACCTGCTCAATACCAATATTATCAGAAAATACAGGTTCATCCCAATCAACCACTGCAGAGCCATTTCGTGTAATGACCCAAATATCTCCAGGGCAGTGGTCCACACGAGGAGGCGTCTTGTCCCTTTCCAATACCGAGCAGTCCCCTGTGTAGCCAGGGGGACACACATACTGTCCACAGGTAGATGGTCCGATCCGCTCCACATTGCCCTTTACCATATCATAACCAGTCCATCGAAGTAAAAGACCATCAAACATAACTGGAGAGTTCATGCATGAGCGAACCTATTGCGAGAGATTACCCAAAAAATTATTTTGAAATGTTGTATAAAAATGTAAAATATGCTTTATTAATCAAACTTTTTCACCAGATGTACTATACAAAATTCATTGTAGAGTAGTGTATATCTAAAATGAAGATCATTTATGACTGCAATATCACAAATAGTGTACAAATTTCTCACCATTTTTGGAATTTCTGTGCGGAAGTCAAGAGGACGATTCCAGGCATTAAGACGAGCAACACGACCATGGAAACCTCGTTCGTTAGTGTAGCCAGCAAATTTAGTCTCAACAGAGCCAAGGGTCAACCAGCCACTGAAAAATATATTCAATGTTAGCATACAATATAAACTAAAATAACATTAATACCTGCTATTTGTAATGATAAATAAGGACCATTAAATTAATAGGTGATGTGTGCTGAACCCAACTCACCATTTAAGAGAAATGGTCGCCATTTTGAATATTCTTGAACTGTACTAGTACTGTATTAATATAGGGCCACTAAATACGACTAGCAATTCGAATATCATGAAACTAAGGTGTGGGTTTACATAGTAAATTGTACAATATATATTGGTTCTACTTTAAATTAAAGAGAGTCTCGACTAATATTTAGTAGTGGTTAAGGTTAAAATTTTGGAGGTAAATATTGGTTTAATATATATAAGAATTATTCCTACAGTAATACAGCATGTATTCCTGAAATACATGCTGTATTTCAGAGCAATTACAGTATATGAGTAGTTTGCGTACCTTGCAGCAAATATGATTAGTATGTTTTGTGTTTGTGGGGATGTGTGTACAGTACTGTACCTGAACAAATCATATGATGTTCAGATTTGTTCATTTGATGCATCACGTTAGTGTGATCTCCGTGTGTAATGTAGTACTGTACCTGTTTCTTGGGTCAAAAGTCTGCCTCTATTACTGCCCGATTCTCATGATTTGACAAGTATCTAACCTGAAATGCTTTTCCCAACTACTGCATAAGCATATCTAGACAAACCAACTTAATCTGTTAGGATCGATGCTCAGTAGTTCTAAGGTTGCAAACAAATCGAGAAGCATTAATTCCACTACAGTATAGCACTTAAAATTGAACACTGCTGTTGAAAGCATTAGAACTGAGGTGCATTAAGTGTGAGGGGAGGTTACTATTATGGACAGTTCTTATTTTTTGTTTGGGTTCACACGGAAAGAGCAGATAACATTAGATCTTCTATTAGTTTGTTTATGTAATTATAAGGCTATCAAGTCCTAAATCCTAATTTTCGCCGGAATACGACTCGCCAAATCGTTTGACAACCAGGCACTTATACAGTACTATGATGTGCTGCATAAATACTGGCAAGATTTCTTATAATTGTCAGCAGTTTTATGGTTGCCAGAGCTTACAACCTTCTGGAATTTGTTTCACCATCCACAGCTAAGTTGGTAAATAGTTATTGCCTCTTATCATTTCTACACCATTTCTCCTCTAGCTCAATACTATGACCTACAACCTTTTACCTGCTTGCTGTCTTGTATCTTATTACAAACTTTTATGTGGCTATCATATCCAATTTTTTTTATTTTATCTTTGAATTTTAGCTATTCCAAAACATTTACTCTATACATAAAGCTCGATTTGTTGCACACATTTGGATTTTGTTTAGTTTATTATTTTTGTTGGTGTGTACTGTGTCATAGTCAAGTCAGTGCACATGTATGTGCAAGTATACTGTACCTGCATGTATAGTACAGTATTGGTGACTGAGTGCACATGCAAGTATGTATATGTGCATGTGAGATTATTTTTTCATAGTTACACCCCACCAGTGTAATAAAAACAAAAAAAAATAATAAACGTACTACATGGGCAACTGGCGTCCTTGGGCAAATCCTTCCACCTGAGCAACAACTACGGCATCGGTGGTGAGAGTGAGCACACCAGCGGTGCCATCCCACACGAGAGCGACGTGGTGCCACTGACCGTCGTTGACTGGGATGTTAGGACGGTAGGTTACAAACTCCTTCAGATCTTTAAAGAACTCTATGGCAATACCTGCATTGGTCGCTTGAAGAATAACCCTCTTGTCAGACGGCACATATGGGCTCCTGTTGTGGAATATATAAGGAATAGGTTATGACACACTTAAACCAGTTTTCTAAGGTACCTGGGAAGTAACAATTGCAATATTAGTATGAGAAATGTAAAATTTAGAGTACTGTATCATAAAAAGGCATTAATATCAGCATTCTTAAAATGTATAAAAATAATGTTTGAATATACTTTATTTCCATTCATTCTAACTAAAACAGAGGCTGATAAATATTGCCATATAAATACTTCACTGCAAACTATTAAATAATAATACTAGTAATGTACATACATTTTATGTATGTACTATGTACTAATATTTTAGAAAACAATGCAAAGTACAAACTTACGAAACAGAGTAGAGTGTGAAAATGGTGCCTAGATCGTCAGGGATGGCAAACTGAACCCAGAGTGCCAGAGTGAAGGATGTGGCACTGCCGAGCATGAAGGGCGTTGCTAGTGAGGCACTGGATGCCTTGCTCTCATCATTTATGTATAATTCATAGTCGATATTGATCACTAATGAAAAAGATGGATTAAATTAAAATTAAAATGTTAAATAATTAAATTAAATAATTCATTACATATTTGTTGATGAAAAATATAGTGCATGTCAATAACTGAATAAGAAAAGAAACTAAACATAATAGAATGAGATTCAAGACAATGCACTTTAAAGCACTTTCATCTCATGCCAAAACACGAAGCTATACAAGGAGCAAGAACTTAAATTTGTAATTCACAAAATGAGTTAGGAATGATTAAATACTCACCCTTCCTACAGTCTTCTCCAGTAAGGTTGAAAGGACACTTGCAGTAGAAATCATTAGTCAAGTCAACGCACGTTGCACCAGGGGGACACGAAGTTGGTGTGCAGTTAACAATGTCCTCATCGCAGTGTCTTCCAGTGTAACCTGCAGGGCACACACACTCATAGCCAGCACCTCGGTCAATGCATGTGGCACCATTTTTACACAGACCGGCCTCACAGGCATCAAACTCAAATTGACAGCCAATGCCAGTGAAGTCCTCAGAGCAGGTGCAGTTGAGACCAGAACCATAGTCTTGACAGGAGGCTCCGTTCATGCAGGGATTGCCCACACACCGTTCAGGGGTAACCTGGCACCTCTTTCCATCAGTTCCAGATGGGCAAACACAGAAGTAGTCCTCAAATAGGTTTAAGCATTCAGCCTTATTGAGGCAAGGCACAGATTCACAACCACCAATGTCATTTTCACATCGTTTGCCTGTCCACCCTGGTCTGCAGGTGCAAGTGAAGTCTGCTACACCATCTATGCACAGACCCTCATTAAAGCATGGGTTTGTGGCACATTCATTGATGTTGTTTTCACAAAATTCACCATCATAGCCAGGATGACATTGGCACTTGAACATGTTGTCAAGGTCCAAACATTTTTCTGTGCCAACTGGATTGCAAGGATTGCTGATGCACTCATCAATTGATGCCTCGCATTGTAAACCTACAAAGCCAGGTCTGCATTCACACATGAAGCCATCAAGTTTGTCAACACAAGTACCACCATTCTGGCAAGGTTCAGAAACACAATCGTCAATTGTGTGCTGACAAAGTTTTCCAGTATACCCAGTGTCACATTCACAACGGAATTCATTAACCAAGTCAATGCACTCGCCGCCATTCTGACAGGGATCTTCAACACAGTCATCTTCATTTACTTCACAGCTTTCCCCTGTCCAACCTGGATGGCAAATGCACTCATGATAGAAGAAACGGTCAACACAGATGCCATTGGTACATGGGGAAGATTTGCAGAGGTCTACTTTGATGTGGCAACGTTTTCCTGTGAAACCATTTGGACAGTCACAACGAAAATCATGAATGAGATCTGTACAGTTGGCTTCGAGTAGACAAGGGTTCTCTTTGCAATCATCTATGTTCACTTCACACATTCGTCCTTCCCAGCCAGGCAGACATTCACACCGGAAACGACCTTGTTCTAGTGGTACACAGGCTGCATTATTAGCACAAGGGTTATCTTTTTCTGTACATGGGTTTACTGTGATATTGCAGCCAGGACCAGTATAGCCTGAACGGCACAGACACTCGTATGTATCTTTCCCGGGGTTATCCTTGCACATGGCTCGGTCAGGACAAGCATCCTCAACACATTCACTGACTTCATCTTGGCACTGAAGCCCACTGTATCCTTCAGCACATTCACATTTGTAACCCTGGGGAAGATCAACACAAGTTCCCTGGTTATAGCATGGTTGTGAGGCACACTCATCAATATCCACATCACAGAATCTGCCAGTAAAACCTGCAGGGCAATAACACTGCACTTGGTGCTGACGTGATAAGCACAAGCCTCCGTTCTGACAGATTCCCTCAGTGCAGATCACAGGTACACATTCTTCCTCGGAGCTTGATCCTGCATCTAGGGTGCGATTTCCTGTTGAACACTCAAGACAAGTTGTCCGACCATCAAATGGCTGATAGAAGTTGAAGGGGCAGGGTGCACATGGTTCCAGTCCTGTATCAGAGTAACTTCCTTCTCTGCACTTCCTGCGACACATTTGCTGAGAGGCAGTGGCAGCTGCATAGGTGAAAGTGTCTGGAGGACAAGCCTGGCATTTCTTGAAACCATCGACAGGAGGATCTTCTGTGTAAGAATTGTGTGGGCAGTTTAGACATGGTACTAGACCTGTTGGTGAATAAGTCCCATAACCACAGACAGGGACACAGTCCATAGCAGATTTGCTACCTTCATTGTATGTGTATGTACCGGGCAAGCATTGTTTACAAGCACCTTGACGACTCTGGTCCTGGTAGAATCCTCTCTGGCAAGGAGAACAGGCCTTCTCTTCCCGACGTGCAAAGGTACCAGCAGGACAGTGAAGGCAACGTGGCACCACAGCTGTATCTACATTTAGAACCTCTCCAACATTGCAAGTGAATCCTCGAGTGACATTGGAACTCAAAGCACGCATCGGTGGACAAGAGTTGCCTGCAGACGACAGATTGAGTATGGGTTCAATTACTGCAGAAGTTGAAGGCACACTCAAATCAAAAATCAATGATAATGTGGAACCACAGAGCTCATAAAGCAGTTTTTGTTTAACTTCAGGAGTCAAACGAACCACATATTGAACCTCCACTACATTTTCCTGTGCAAGATTAAGTGTCGTATCATGGAAAATCACATCAATAGCTACATTAACAGCAGCAGAGCAGCGGCTAGACAACACACCATTGAGACTTTCATAGTATTGCTGCAGGAGACTTTTATATTGAGTGAGACAGGTGGGCTGTACGGCACCATTAGCTCGATACAAAACAGATGCCAAGACATCGTAGCTGGCCTCCTGAGTGTCCTCACTAACACAATCAGGAACCACTCGTGAGGGTTGCCAAGAGGTCTCTATGGTGCAAGTGAAAGCCTTGACTGGCATGTTATCAGTAAATCTAAATCCATCATTGCATGTAGCCAAACATTCCATACTTTTACCTTCACCCGGTATGCAATTCAGTTTACCATTTGCTGGTTCCTTTAATTCCCAATCTACACAAGCTGTTGCCTGCACAGCAACTTGAAAGTTACAGGATGCAGCATTTCCAGAGGGATCTGTAGCAATGACACTAACATTCGCATAACCTCCAACTCTTATAAGTGCAACTTCAGGTGTTACTCTCAGCTTATAATGTCCACTATTATCACTGGCATTTACACTAGACAATGTGATTGAGGAGTTAAAGTTCACACGATAATTTTCTTGTTGTTCAACCAATGCAATCACATAACTCTGAGGACAGGTAACTGAAGGTGGAATGTCATCGGGGACAGTAATATTAATCTGACAAATGGCAACATTTCCATCAAAATCAAATGCCAAATATTCAACCATCATATCCTTAAAAATATGCATAGGGGGTCGGAAGCCAGCTGGACGTATTTCAGTGCGAGCAATCGTGCCTGAATTGTCATATGCAGTTGGCACTGTAAAGTTGACACTTTGGAAGCCATCAACACCCTTTTGAACAACTATAGGATTAATGGGGCAATTTGCAAATTGTGGTGGTTCATTATCAACACATATAGGGAAGCCCATGTCATAGCCAAGGAGGCGCTTCTCAGCTGGTTCATCCTCACAACCCATCAATTCAAATTTAAGGCATGGATTTTTATCATAGCTGACAATGCCAAGAATAACAAAGCGTGCCGTCACAACCGTTGGGAGCGTTATCATTGCCAGCTCCCCATAATTGCCTGGATCTCGAGCTGTAAGATTAAAATTTGGGAAGTAGACGATGTAATTTTCTTCCTCCTGTTCCTTATAGAAGAAGCGAATTTCAGTTGGTCTTCCAACAACATCATTTGTAATAACTCCTTTCACTAAAACTGCCTTAATTCTGTGAACTGTTCCTAGGTCTACGGTGACATATGTAAAAGATTCCGTCAGGCCACACCACCCAGTGGCAGAGTTCAAACGAATATTATGAGCCTCATAGTTCCCACGCTCGGAGGTGGCATTAATAGCAGATGATGGAATCTTGCCCGATGTTATCCCAATTGGAGCAACAACACGACACTCTGGCTCACGTATGCAATGAATGGGTTCATCAGTAATGGGGATATAGCCTGGACGAGAACATTCAAATTTCACTTCAGATCCTTGCTCATAGCTAGAAGCAATTTGTGTACCCTCAGGTGGGTGGCCAGGATCAGAGCAAACGGGGCCTTCACATCTTAGGTCACCGAAGTCCCAGTTACCATCAGCCTGGCACGTAACTGCATTGTCATTTCTGCTAGTTTGGCCAGCAAGGCTGAATGTCTCTTCACAGCCAAAGAAAAAGGATGACTGATACTGAGTGTCTACAGTATAGCCATATGTAGCCCCAGGTGTCTCTGCTGGTATGCCACAGTCGACACGTGGGCATTCTGGTGGAATACCTGCCATCCAGTAATCTTGGAAGCCAGGCTGAGGATCATACACACACTCACGGAATCCAGATGTCAATGTATTCCTTAATGGTCTGCCTTCTTGATTACAAGTAATAGTTTCATTTTCCATGAATGGGATCACTGGAGCATCAGGCTTAGTAAAATGAACTGTAAGGTGTTCTTCCGGGTTATTTCGTAAGGGTTCACAAGCTGCATACCGACATTCAGGTAAAGTACCATTCCAAATACCATTACTGTTACATATTAGTTTGTCAGATCCAACCATGACATATCCGAAATTGCATTGGAATGAGACAAGATCCCCGTAATGATACATGTCACGAGTATCCAGCAACAATCCATTTGGTGGTGACTCCAGTCCTGGACACATCTTCCTTACGCATGTCTTGTTCAGCCGATAGGTGTCACCATCACGGAGACCAGATTCATATTTCTCTGTGTAGAACCCAGCTGTCCCATTTTCAGTGAAGAGATCATAACCAACATTACACAGACAAGAGAAAGATCCTGGAGAATTGATGCAACGCTGATCGCAGCCTCCATTATTATCTTCACATTCATTTACATCAATACAGTCTTGGCGTGCACAGCCCATGAGTTCAAACTTAAGGCAGGGTGCCGTTTCATAATCAGCAATAGTGAGACGGATATAACGAGCTTCAACAGGAGTAGGGAGGTTTACTACAGACAAAGAAACCCCCGAGGTAATTCTGAACTCCACTGGTGATCCATCACGATTGGTGTACTCACGAAACACGTCAGTTAGATCATCTGTGTACTGCAAGCGGATAGATTTAGCAAAGGCGCTCTGACCATCAGCACGCTCAACAGGCTGTGTACGGAAACCAATGATAACAGTAGGGACACGAAGGTCAACCATAACCCAGTTTCGACCAGGCTCATGCTCAGCACCACACCAGCCAAGCTGAGAGTTGAGACGTACACTCTGAAATACAAAAATATATTACTGTATTATTATTTTCCTGTACTGGTAAAAAACTTTTTGAACTTTATTCCTGTGCATCACAAGATTTATTTTATTTCTGCCTAAACTGAAATGACAAGTGTTTGCATTAACTGTTGTTAATTACTATTTTGTATTACAGTACTGTTGTCATATACATTTGTGTGGTAATTCAAAAAATGATCCTTCACTTAGTAAAAAAGCTACAGTATATAAATGACGTCCTACTTCTGTATACATTATATACAAGTTTATAGAACAATAATAGTGTAGTGAAAATTTAGGAGTTGTGGCTTATCAATTATATGTATATATTTTTCAAGACTATACAATACAGTACATGAATTTTACACTTTGCATTCTCAAGAACCCTTACATTCTTTTCATAACCTGCAGCAGTGGAAGACACAAACATTGCATCATCTGGAATACCACCATCAGATACACCAAGGTCTCCTCGTGGCCGACAGTCAAGATTAGGTCGGAAGCCAGGCTTGCACATACACGAGAAGGCTCCAGGGGTGTTTTTGCATTCAGTTGAGGCAGCATCGCACTGGGCGGCATCACATTCATTAATATCTGAGGTAATGAAAAGTAAACCCATCATTACTCAAAAAAATCAGCCATTAGAATTGCACCAAATTCTGTCTTCAAACATCCTCAAAATCAATAATCATACACACATATAATCAATGAAATAATTAAACTAACCTTGACAGGTTGGTAGATTAAGAAATTGTTGGTCTGAGCCACACTGGATGATGGAAGAACCAACTAACTGGTAACCACGATGGCACTGTACTCTGGCTTCGTCTCCAAAGTAGTAGTCACGGGTAAGATCAGCAACAAATCCATTAGCAATCTATGGGAGTAGTGATGTTTCCTCAGTAACCAATAGGAAGTTCCCATATCTATCTTCCTAACTCTGAATATCTATATATATATATATACTAGACCTAGTTTTCCTAACCACAATAATGAGAAGTTACATGTTATAAATTGTTATATTGCCTTTATGGATACATCAAATTTTTACTAAAAAAACTTTCATTAAACATTTACATCTTTATTTACTAAACTTCAAATTTTAAGAGAATATGATTAATTGTTAATATTTAGTAACAACAAAATGGGACCTTGTCTTGGTTTATTGAGGATAGGCTTTCAATTCTCGATGAAGGGGAAACCAAAACACAAGCTTTCATTTTGTATTAAATGCTCTATAGCTAACTCTTTGGTCATGCACATAACCGTTTTGTCCTAGTATATTAAAGTTAGTCTAGGCCGAATATTTTAAATGCCAATTTGAATAATTGAAATGAAGCATTACTTCTCAGCTGTACAGTTCTGTAGTCTTCTGTATTTATAGCAAAATATTCTAATAAGTTGCATATAAGTTTAAAAAGTATACTGTAGATAGAAAACAAGATTGTATGCTTTTCCTTACCTTTGGATAATCATAACACTTGATTCTTGAACAAGTGGGCACGTCACCTGACCAAGAGCCATTGGACATGCAGTGGATAACAGGGAGACCAGTGCGGTAATAGCCAGCCTCACACTGAAACCTCACCACGGTGCCATAACTACGTCCTCCACCGTTAAGCACAGTTTGGTTGGCATGTGGGGTTTCTGGTAGAGCAGGGCACTGTGATGCTGTTAAGGAGAAAAATTAATCACATTTGCCTTGAGTGAAATTAAGTGCCTTACAACCAACTACAGTACTCTGATTTGTAAATGCCATTTGTGATAATTTATACAATGTACTGTACAATATTTATAAATCAATACCTGATGCCAAATCAATGTAAGGTACAGACTTGACAGCCGTACTTTAGAGTGCAATTAACAAAACCAGTTCTTACTTTCTTATAAATAATGGGAGGGATATGTATGTACAGTACTGTACATGAGGGGATGTGTGAGGTGGAGTAATGAGGGAAGAGTGGGGACACATGAGGAACATCTTGGTGGATTGATGAGGGCTGCAAAATGGTTGAGAGGTGTGTGAATAGACTGTGACACGTTCAAGCTCTTGAAATGTTCATCTCTCTTTCCCATTTGTCTGTGTATTTTCCGCATACAGTACTGTATATACTCCACAAAACACTTGACCGACAATAAATCTTATTTTACAGGGGACAAGAAGATGATAATATTTACCATAGTATGTGCTTCTACAAACAACCAAGGTGGTAATAAGGGCCTTTTAAACAATGAAAAAAATGTAATGAAGTTGGCTCACCTAGGCACTCTGGAAGTCGCTGCCACTCCCCGTGTTCTGTACATGTGATGGTCTCGACACCCTTGCTGCTGGGGAAGCCAAAGCCTGCATAACATTGGTAGGTGGCTTGACCAAGGTATGTCACATTGGTGGCACCAATACTGAAGCCATTGTCAATCTGGGGCACTGGGCCACAGTAAACAACTGAAACATAAGCATAATTAATGCTGAAATATTATTGGTAGTATTAATGCTGAAATAGTATTAGTAGCATTAAATGTCATATTATGAAAAATCAAGAATAATTTAAAATTTGATGTATCAAACAAAAAAATAATCAAGCTGCATATTACAAATTTTCCTTCCCTTCAAAATGCATAAATCTTTTACCATTTACTTTTTCCTTAAAATGTACAATGACCTTGCTATTCTTATCCTTAACATTCTGAGGGTTTACCTTGGCATTTGGGAATATAGTCAGTGGACCAGGTCCCCCCAGGCATACATGTAGTAACAATGGCAGTCTTGTTATTGGCAAACTCTTGACCCACAGGACATGTGTAAGTCACAATGCTGCCAAAGGAGGTGTCACGTGAAGAAGCAATGGCTCCTTCACCAGCAGTTAACATTGGGCAATCTGTAAAGGAAATTAACATAATGTGCAACAATAAGTCAACATGAGCGAACGAAGAAATGTATTTTCCTAGTTCATAACTGTATTAAAAATAAAATTTTGAAATTTATTACAAAAAATATATTTAATATTTTCCTGTAACAAATTCTATGATGATGATGACTTCTGTATATTTAAGCAAGTAATATGTGCCTGAACAACACAATACATCCCCACCACCTCTGCTTTAAGCATTAAAGAAAAGTGCTGAGCAAACACACACATGAATACAGGAGCTAGTTCTCATCCAACAGAGAAAGGTAAGTACAAATGCAGAGGTACTTGTGCTTAACATTACAATATGTGCCTACCCGGTTACAATGGAGAAATAAAAGGAAATTTCTTTTATCTGAATCTTACACCACTTTCAATAGAGCAGAGAATGAGGTACATCAACTCACCTGCAGAAAAATTGGCTGACCATCCTCTGGCCGATCGTAGGGGGTCAGAGTTGAACATGAGAAACATGGCGCCAGAATCAGCAGTCAGAGTAATGGTGGGAGGGTTGTTAGCAGAGAAACCTTTGCCAGAATGTAGGCGAATACCTTGAGATGATGTCATCCCATCATACACCTGCACAGTATCCTTATTTTCCACAACAAAGTCATTGAACTGTAGGAAAGAGCATATGTTTCTTAAATGTATTTATATCTACAGAACTGTACTTGCATTAATAATAATAATAATAAACATGATAACTATCTGTATAATAATTAATTATTATTGACAAAATCAGTTGGAACACTGTGGAGATTTAAACTAGTGTTCTAGTGAATACCAGACACTTGCCTTAATTTAATCCACGCAGCCATGATATGACAAAATCTATTCAACCCAGAACTCTACAGAGTCCACTAACAGTCTGGAGGCCCTAGCTGGTACCATAACCAGCTTTTATGAATAGACCGTCTACACTCTGGCCTCTGGGTAGTGGAGTTCTCCACCAAACCTGCCTTGCAGATCTCCTCACTCTTTTGTATGTGGTAAATAAAAGTAAATAAACCAGGTACTCAGACAAAGGACTTCCGATGGATGCAGTATACTACATGGATTTTGCTAAGGCCTTTTCTAAGGTATCACATGAAAGACTAGCAAGATAATTACAGGCACATGGAATAAATGGTAGAATACTAGAAAGGATAAAACAATGGTTAAAACAAAGAAAACAAATTTTGTTACAGTACCCTGAGTGAGAGAGGTCCTCCACCAGGTCGTCTGATGAGATAGCTGCACTCTTGGTTAGTTGGGTACTCCCTAATACCATAAGCAGGAGAAGAAATGATGCCCTTGTTGGCATCCATAGTTACAGAGCATCCTGAGTAGTACCTGAAAGAAGATGTATTGAATTTGCCTGTTTACAGCAACCAGCTTCCTGTGCCTATCACAGTCACTGAAGATGCCAGCCTTCAGGTAAATTAATCTACACAAGTCTTGTTAATCTTTTAATCATTCTAATGAATGCAGAAAATGATAAAAAAACATCATATTATAAATGCATAAAAGTGTATAACATTTAATTACTATCTATTATTCATATGTTTATTGGTATACACAAAATTTAAAATAATTTACTTGATGCGGAATCCTCGTTGAGAAACTCCAAGGTTGGTGTAGAAGTAGAAGTAAATCACAGGGCCAGTTGAGACGATAAAACGATGGTTGTCTTCCTGGGAGCCAGTGAGCCGAGCCAGCAGAGGGTCTGAAGGTGAATCACCATCTCGCACCAACACAAAATCTTTGTCTGCAGTGGAAAGAAATAATAATTCTAACATTATTCACAGCAGTTATATGTTAAAAAATAAATATTAAGAATTGCAAGTGATGCCTGACCACAGAAAAATGATTAGTGATTGGTTTTTGAAGGTTCAAAAACCTTTGACAAGTTGCTGGCTTCCTGACCCATCAAAGCCTCTTGGGAGATAGCAGCCCCTAGGTAAATTTATTTAATTCTGATATATATCATCATAACCTACTTAGCAATCATGAATATTGTATAGTCATTTTTCCAAAGTGAAAATAAATTAAACAAACTTAACCAGAAGATGGATATGTACCAAGATTTCAATTATAAAAGCACCAGTAACATACCATCCTCAAGATCCAAATCAAGAATCTCGAGAGTGATGACACGTCCTTGTTGTGTCTTGAGCATGTAAAGACACTCGAGACCACCAGGGTAGTTGAGTGGGTAGTTGTAGGATGTCATAATCTGCTCCTGGGGTGTAGCAATCAATTCTCCACCGCAGTTCTGTGGTTCTGTCTTCCATGATGCCCTAAAAGGAAGATAGCACTGGAGATCAAGCCTAAACAAGTTTCTAACTAAGCAGGCAGAATTCAAAGTTATACAGTATACTGTTATAGCCAGGGAGGAGGGGTGATGCACATGGCGAGTTGTGTAGGAAAAGATTACGGATGTACTTCTGCAGAGTGGAGGAATGTTAAATTAATGAACATCATGATAGGAAGAGAAATATACATAACATGATGATACCAGATGCTCATCAAATGTACTTGGATTCCAGTCGATATGACAGAACTCAAAAGGTTTGGGAACCTGTTCACTAGTTGAGTGAAGAAGAGAGGTGGGACCAAAGAGCTGAAATTTAATCTCTTTTGGTAGAGCTGTGTGTGTACACACACACATTATATTCCATTTGCAATGAAACAACAAGAGGGAACAAGTGGTCGGTAAAACACAATAAGTTGGAAATTGATTAAAATATAATACTACAGTACTCATATATATTGAGGGTGGTAAATCGGTGAAACAAATTGACAGCGAATGTCATGGAAACTACTTCCATTCACAGATATAAAAGTAGGTATTATAAAACACTGGAATATGGGGATTAACATACAGTACTATATACATTAAGTACCTGACAGCTGGAACTCTCCTTATCCTTTGGACATGCCTTGGAAAGCAATGACAGGCAACCACATAACACATGCTCCTTTTAGCATCATAATGTAAAAATAGGACATAAGAAGAAATATTACATCACTTGTTACATCACTCGTACCTGAAACCTCGCTTCTCCACTGAGGCATCGGTCTTGAATTTGAGAATCATGAAGTTGGAGGCTGAGATGAAAAGTTTATCAGTAAGGTCCTGTCTGCCCGAGAGTGTTGTGAGAGACACAGCCGAGTCCTCGGTACGTCCACCACTGAGAATCTGCACTGTGTCAAAGTTCTTCTCTGTGTCAAATTCGAAGAATTGAAGAATCACATTGTGGCCAACAGGACCCTCTAAGGTCCATTTACAATCCATGTTGGGTCCATACTTTTTGGGGTATTCGGGGCTCTCTATAGAGTCTCCTGATGAACGCATATAGAAGTGGCAACGATTGGGACAGTCGATCTCATCAGACATATCTCCACAGTCATTCTGTCCATCACACTTGAAGGCCTGTTGAAGATAGATACATTAATTACAATGACCTCTGGAAACCATGACACATAATTACACCTAGCTGTAACATTCTTACAGGGAATAAAGTTTGAGGACTTAAATCAGCTCATAAAAACAAACTAATATATTTATGCCAATAATACTATACTGCTAAATACAGATGATATTAAGTAGTTTTTGGATAGTTGCAATGTTGAACTTTAACTATACGAATAAACAACAATTTACAAGGAAATTATATTTTAGTTAAGATAAATTTAAGCTATTTAAAAATTCAACATTAATGCCAATTTAAAGCTAAATTACTAATTAATCATGGGTGAATCTATTTCAATTTTTTTTAACTAAATCTGAAATATGAAAAGAGTAGAAACTTAATCCCTAATCTGACCCAGAGTATAAACTGGACTATATCATGGCTGACCTTGTTGATACATCTTCCATTGGAGCAGTGAAGGGCACCACGGGTGCAGGCTTGAACTCGACACATGAAGGGTAGAAGAGATTCACATGTGCTGAGCTCCCATGACTGGTGCTGGTCAGAGAGTTTGGCTTTCACACACTCCCCACCTGTCACCTGGGGTTGTCCTTGTGACCAGAACCCTGAGGAAACATCATACACTTATTAACACCCCTCAAATACAACTGTATATTAATTGAAGCTGAACTTATCACTTTCTGGTCGACGACCTCTAATATAGTCCAAATACATACAAGGAATGGAAGCGACTTTAGGATGTACAGTATTGAAGAAGCTTGTGTGATGCCTCATACACCCTGTTTGCAAGTCATATACCTAATGCCTCTTGTGCAGGATGGGCCAGGATGTAAGCACTTAACGTTATTATAAATATTTGCAGCATCTTGTATTTATGCTTTCTATAGAACCAATGTCTTACTTTGATCTAGTGCTGTATGTAGGTGGGTAACTTGAGCTAAAACTCTTCTAGTTACGTTTTAAGCACAAACATCAATTGAGAGAGAGGAATTAATGATATAACACAGAGAGTTCAGTATTTATCAAAGACAGGTTAAAATCTTCACCGCAGCAGAATGTAGCGTTCAAAGATAGTTGTGGTGTGACACTGTCACATTTTTCATCACGTGTTAATTTTCGTGATTTACACACTTGTATGCTGAGGGTGTGGGGAGGTCCTGCATGTGTGCCCATGTGTACAGTTATGGCAATAATGAGAGTAGCGTGACGAGAGTGAAGGGCATGCATGTACACCCACCCGAGTAGAGCGAGACGTGCTTGCCACTGGCACTCTCCAGGGTGTTGGTAGAGAGGTCATTGAGGGAGACGAGGCCCAGCCAGTAGCTGTTGGTGGGGTCATCGAGGCTGGCGTGGGCCAGACCCTCTGTGAAGTTGTTCTGACTGTAGCTCTCCACCAGCACCAGGTCGGATCCAAATCTGTTGGCAAACCCACACATTAATACGGACTTAGTTTTTTTTTTTTTTTTAGTTTAGTTCATTTATTATGCACCCCATACCCATCTTGTGGGAGGTAGTGGAAAGGGTTACAGAGGCACATAATGAGCTCAGGGACTGAACCCCACAATTCATTTAGCTAAGCAAGTTACAGTCTTGATGAACTAGTTTCAAAATTCAGTATAAGTCGTCACATCGCCATTAGTCGTCACATCGTCAATATAACAAACATGTAATTATAGGTAAGCTAAGTAAATAAATATGATTGAATAAATTGCATCAAATAAACCAATAAATACTTTTCACTAACAAAATACTGATTAGAATATAATAAAAAGGTATATAAATGGCATGTTACACACACACATAATAACTACACAGGTTCTTTTACAATGTTCTTCAAGTAATTATAACAAAGCATGGTTAAGAAGAACATTTAATGACTTATTTCAACACTTCCTATTAGGATTGTCGTGAAGACGTCTTTTTAATAATGCTCGTAGCCTTTTAATACTTTGTACTAATGTACTAAGGAAAATTATTACCTCTGCCATAAATATATAAATGTGAATGAGTATTAATTATATAATGATGGCAGGTGTGTACTCTGCAAGGTAGGTGTGTACTCTGCAGGGCAGGTGTGTACTCAGGGGCGGTGTGTACTCAGGAAACCTTGAAAATTACCACATGAACATAAAATATATGAACAAAGAGTTACACCTAAAATATGGCGTAATTGTTATCGTAATTTACTTAGGAATAAATATTTTATTCTGGTGAAAACATAATGTGTTTCTAGGCTAGATTATACAGACACTATATACTGTGACAATGTCTGACAACGGAGGAAAATGAGACAAGAAGTTCATTAAGTATTTTCATATTAATAAGTACACCATGAGAAGGATGCCTATGGCACTTATACAAGGTGGCATTGTCTTTATACACCTATAGTGCGCACCACGATTTTTTTTTACTCAAAATCATAGATAAAAAGGTTCTATTTCCCTTCAATATAAATGTGAGATATGTTAAATATTATAACAAATGACAACTCCATTATGCAATATATTTATATTATCATACATTGCAGTTACAGCGAACGAAGTGTTCTGGTATTAGCTGTCATTGCAATTCAGTGTGAGGTGTACGGATAAATGGTAAAACCCCATGTAAAATAACATCCTCCGTAGTAATTGAGGACTGTGTCTCCTCTCTAATATTTTTGCGCTACCGTTCACAGGATGAGTATGGGGTGCACAATAAACTACCGCTTACATGATAGGATGCTTGATACCTGGCTGATGGGGTTCTGGGAGTTCTTCTACTCCCCAAGCCCGGCCCGAGGCCAGGTTTGACTTGTGAGAGTTTGGTCCACCAGGCTGTTGCTTGGAACATACCCACCACAGCCCGGCTGATCCGGAACTTCTCTTAGAAAACCGTCCAGTTTTCTCTTGAAGATGTCCACGGTTGTTCCGGCAATATTTCTTATAGTCGCTGGGAGGGTGTTGAACAACCGCGGACCTCTGATGTTTATACAGTGTTCTCTGATTGTGCCTATGGCACCTCTGCTCTTCATTGGTTCAATCTTGCATTTTCTTCCATATTGTTTACTCCAGTACGTTGTTATTTTACTGTATAGATTTGGGACCTGGCCCTCCAGTATTTTCCACGTGTATATTATTTGGTATATTTCTCGTCTCCTTTCTAGAGAGTACATTTGGAGAGCTTTGAGATGATCCCAATAATTTAGGTGTTTTATCTCGTCTATGTATGCCGTATATGTTCTCTGTATTCCCTCTATTTCAGCAATCTCTCCTGCTCTGAAGGGGGAAGTGAGTACTGAGCAGTACTCAAGACGGGACAACACAAGTGACTTGAAGAGTACAACCATTGTGATGGGATCCCTGGATTTGAAAGTTCTCGTAATCCATCCGATCGATCGGATGGATTACGATCGATCTCGTAATCCAATATGCACGATAAGCTATCGCTCACAGGCTGAATATGAGAGTGCACAATAAACTACAGTCCAAAATAATTATTGGATGCACAACTAGCTGCCACTGCAATCAATACACTTAGGCAATAAACAAAGACGAAATACCAGGACAAGTATGGAAGAAACAGCTTAATTCTGGTCCTAGATAAAACAGCACTTATTACTCTGTACAAAAACAAATATGAGGATATTCACCGATGAGCGATGTGTTCAACCGTACAGTTGGTCATTTCCTGACCAACTCGTTCATTTAAGCAAGACTGAGCAAGAGAAACAGCCACACAGTGTTTGCATAACGCTTTATAGCTTGTTCACCGGCCCGGAAGTATGAGTGTGTGGGGGGGATGTGTATACATGTATGTATATGTGTGTGTGTATGCGTGTGTGTGCTCACCTAGGTGTATTTGCGGGGGTTGAGTTTTTGGCTCTTTGGTCCCGCCTCTCAACAGTCAATCAACAGGTGTACATATTCCTGAGCCTACTGGGCTCTATCATATCTACATTTGAAACTGTGTATGGAGTCAGCCTCCACCACATCACTGCCTAGTGCATTGCATTTGTTAACCACTCTGATATTAAAAAAATTATTTCTAATGTCTCTGTGGCTCATTTGGGTATTAAGTTTCCACCTGTGTCCCCTTGTTCGCATTCCACCCGTGTACGTACGTACGTACGTACGTGTGTGTGTGTGTACTCACCTATATGTACTCACCTATATGTGCTTGCAGGATCGAGCATTGACTCTTGGATCCCGCCTTTCTAGCTATCGGTTGTTTACAGCAATGACTCCTGTCCCATTTCCCTATCATACCTAGTTTTAAAAGTATGAATAGTATTTGCTTCCACAACCTGTTCCCCAAGTGCATTCCATTTTTCTACTACTCTCACGCTAAAAGAAAACTTCCTAACATCTCTGTGACTCATCTGAGTTTCCAGTTTCCACCCATGTCCCCTCGTTCTGTTATTATTACGTGTGAACATTTCATCTATTTCCACTTTATCAATTCCCCTGAGTATTTTATATGTCCCTATCATATCTCCTCTCTCCCTTCTTTTCTCTAGTGTCGTTAGGTTCAGTTCCTTCAGCCGCTCTTCATATCCCATCCCTCGTAACTCTGGGACAAGCCTCGTCGCAAACCTCTGAACCTTCTCCAGTTTCTTTATGTGTTTCTTCAGGTGGGGGCTCCATGATGGCGCGGCATACTCTAAGACGGGTCTCACGTAGGCAGTGTAAAGCGCCCTAAAAGCTTCCTCATTTAGGTTTCTGAATGAAGTTCTAATTTTCGCCAGTGTAGAGTACGCTGCTGTCGTTATCCTATTTATATGTGCCTCAGGAGTTAGATTAGGTGTCACATCCACTCCCAGGTCTCTTTCTCGAATCGTTACAGGTAGGCTGTTCCCCTTCATTGTGTACTGTCCCTTTGGTCTCCTGTCACCTGATCCCATTTCCATAACTTTACATTTACTGGTGTTAAACTCCAGTAGCCATTTCCCTGACCATCTCTGCAGCCTGTTTAAGTCCTCTTGGAGGATCCTACAATCCTCGTCTGTCACAACTCTTCTCATTAATTTTGCGTCATCTGCAAACATTGACATGTATGATTCCACTCCTGTAAACATATCATTTACGTAAATTAGAAAGAGGATTGGTCCCAGCATTAATGTGTGTGTGTGTGTGTGTGTGTGTGTGTGTGTGTGTGTGTGTGTGTGTGTGTGTGTGTGTGTGTGTGTGTGTGTGTGTGTGTGTGTGTGTGTAGCGCGCGCACGTGGAAAGAAAAGAAATCCCTGAACTATATTGTCTCAATCACAGACGGATGAACACCATGCCTCCCACAATCACCTTTACCGTTTTCCTTTATATTGTCTAACTAAATGCACATGTCATCTTTCGCAAGAAGCCTTTACAATGAAAAACCGTGTAAAGAGGGGCGTCAAAACCCCATACAATCTCGCTAACATGACTATGGGTGGAGGTAAAGAGTGTAGAACATAGCTGTATAACGTTCAAACAACCCGACGTCTCCCGCGCTCAACCTCAGGGATCGTGAATGCAAATCTGCCTTACAAGTCAACAACCTTTGCTTACCGGGCAGCTGTGTTTACGGTATCGCATCTTCCGGAATCTTTTTTGATTGTAATTCTATTATACAGGAGGCTCGACCGGTTCCATTCACCGAGCACAAGAAACTGGAAAATTATTACAGATGGCAAAGTTCACCCTATCACTCGCCAGAGTTTTCTTGTGCCATTTATTGTTCACCAAAGGTTCATAAATTATAAATTATTTGGTATTTGATTATTTTTTTACTCTTAAAACTTGGCTGGTTTAGTTCACACTAAAGATGTCAATTGAGATTTTACCTGTTGGGGTCATCTTCCCGACCAATCTTTATTATCCACAGCAAACTTTGTTCGGATTTCCACAATAGTTGGTACACTTGAAAGTTATATTGATAATTGTGTTAGGAACTAAGCTTCGGATAATAAACGGAAAAAAGGAGAGAATAATTAAGACCTGCAGTAAGCTTAGCTCCGCGGCCAACCAGCCCGTTCTCGCCAGTATTCCAAACGTCAGAAAACTGGTGTACTAATGTGCCTTAGTCTAACCTACCAGGGCTCCCACGAACCGGTCGGCCGAGCGGACAGCACGCTGGACTTGTGATCCTGTGGTCCCGGGTTCGATCCCGGGCGCCGGCGAGAAACAATGGGCAGAGTTTCTTTCACCCTATGCCCCCGTTACCTAGCAGTAAAATAGGTACCTGGGTGTTAGTTAGCTGTCACGGGCTGCTTCCTGAGGGTGGAGGCCTGGTCGAGGACCGGGCCGCGGGGACACTAAAGCCCCGAAGTCATCTCAAGATAACCTCAAGATAGGTAAACTATACGTAAAAAACACGACGTACTATAAAGAGAACAGTAATGTTTTGTCCAGCACCGAATACAAGCATAGGCCGAGCTGTTGTTGACACGTTAACCGGACTCC